CGGGCCCCAATTTTCAAATTTTTACGCAAACTTCCAAAGTTCAGGCCCCCAATTCTTTTTTCGCGCTGGATTCCCGGCCCCATTTCCCCTCTGCTAACGTCTCGCCACGGGTGAGATCCGAGGCGGGATTTTGGCTGAAATAGGGGGCGCCGCGTAGCCTCTCCCACCACGGTAGGAAGGGCTCGAGGAATACGAGGGTGGGGGAGGGTTTTGGCGCTCGCGGAGAATGTGGCTGTCTGGTTGGGGAGAGGTCGAGTAGGGGTGTTGGTATTGGTGGGGGGAGGAGTCGTAGTTGTTTGGCTGGGGGCGGGTGGGGATGCGGGTGCGCGTTGAAGAAGTTGGGGCAGAGTGGTAGTCATCCCTTGGTCGACTTCCAGCAAGGACGAGGGCGCCGGCGTTGACCGAGGCGTTGAAGTCGTGTCGCGAGGTCACGAGCGCGCTTGAGGTGTCAAAGTTCTGGCTCGCCGCATGTCGAAGCCTCTCTCTTTCCTCCCGTTCTTTTTGGTACCTCTCCTCTCGTTGCCGCGCTGCTTCCAAGTCGCGACTTCCATTCAATTGCGCCCTTGATCTTGGCGCCTTCTCTTTAACCGTACCCTTTGGAACTGGCTCCGGGGCCCAATTGTCAATGGGAAGGTGATCAGAGGCGTCGACGACGCGACCGCTGAACGTGACAATTTGTCCTTTTTCATTGTACTCCATGCGGCTTCCCGGCCGCTCATCGTCCGAGGGAATGGGAGAGGGAATGGGCGAGCGAGAGACGCGCGGATTGTACACGTCAAAGGAGTCGGGATTGAAGGCTACACTGGACAAGCGGCGTTCTTCAGGATAGTCGTTTGTGGGCGGTGGGCGGGGAGAGACAGATTTGCGGGTTGGCATGCTACGAACGGGGCCACGCGAGCTATGTTCTGTGAGAGGGTTTGGTGAGTGGCGAGGGCTGATGCCAGGACTTGTCGCTCGTGGCTTGAAAAGCGGGGCTGGTTCATATACAGGCGATCTTTGACGTGGTTGCTCGGGAGGGTCGTGAGGATAGTCGTAGGCGGACGTAAAGGATTGGTGGTGGACCAATTGCTGAGAGTGTGACGCGTCTTCGTATTGGGTGATGGCGCGGTACTCTGCTGGCTCAGAGTAGTGACGAAGGCGCGGTGGTGTCTCGTATGATGGAGGAGGTTCGTATGCCGGTACCAAGCTCTCTCTTCTTGGTGCACTCAGCCCTGGAACCAAGCTCATGGGCAGTGCTGCCGTCTCTTGTCGCAACGGTGACGGCGCCATGTCATCGCGTGAGTCCGGCCGACTCGCCGGCTGTGCTGGCATGCGAGGATAAGTATAGCGTCGCTCTGACGGCTGATGCTGTTGCTGCTGGCTGTATCCATTGGACTGGTACGGCTGCGGCTGTAGCTCATACTCAATTTGCGACTGCTCTTCCCTGTGTCGGTAGCTCAGAGGCGCAGGAGCATCTTCGTGGTATCTTGGAGAGGGTTGCTGCTGAACAGGATTTGGTAATGTGTTGGCGCCAGGCCTATGCATGGGCGGTGGTGGGGGAAGATCGCCACCATCTTCGTCCTCGACCATGGGCTGCATGGCACTCCGCCTTCGATGCGATCCTTCATCATGATGCACGGGTGCTTCTATCAACCGAGGCTGGCTATAATGGTCATAATTCGTGTATTGGTCTTGTTCGCGACTGCGGCTTGTTCGCAGGGGCGCAACCTGGTAAGCAGGATCTTGATACTGATCGTTCGCATATACAGGCGAGCGGGCGCTGACCACACTGTTGTTCGGATAGTTGTACAGGTCTTGTTGGGGCTGTTGCTGTGGCTCTGGCTCATACGTGTGCTGCGTTGGTACCAAGGGCGCCGAGTAGGAATGCGGTGGCTCCACGCGGAGTGGCTGTTGTGACCCTCGCGAAGAGCGAAAGTCTTCCTGAGACGACCTGGTTCGAGAGTGTCCCGTTTCTCTGACATGCTGTGGTAGCGTATCGGTTGCTTTGACCTCGTATGGCTTTGGTGCTGCATAGGACATGTCGAAGCTCTCGTCAGCCCTGGTCAAGGGAAGCCTTGGGTTCGATGTACGTGGGTTAGGCGGCGTGCTGTATACTTCCTGTGGCATCTGGGGTCGTTGTGGTGTATGACCGTTTGTGGTCGGCGTGCCATTGTGCGACGATGTATCTGGTACAGGCCTTCGTGTAGGCGTATCCGACTGTGTCCGGTGCGTGGCCGACTGCTCAGGTTCCCGTTGGTGTCGCGGCGATCCCAACTCGCGTGGCCCAGCCCTGATGCCTTTCAGCCCGCGGTGCTCGGGTGTACTGGAAGGCGAAGGCGAAGCGCCTGTTGGGTCGCTAGGCAACGGTCTGCGCTTGATGGGCGTGCTCTCTCGGGGTCCTCCCACCGCCGCACCCTTTCCCTCTGGCCGTGCCGACTCCCTCTTCTTCTCCGGTGGCGCGCTTTCCGACTTGGGCCGCGAGTCGTAGTAGGTGAACTCGATGCGCACTTCGCCCGCGTACTTGCCCTTGCAATTGAGGCCGTGCCAGTCGTCGCTCGTGCCGCCGCCGGGTGTGATGACGGCCTCGAGATTGACCCATGTCTCGCCAATCAGCTCCGTCTTCTTGTCGTCGTTGAAGACGGAGACCTTGAGGCGGTGGTAGTCGGGCGAGTCGTGGACGGTGAAGCGAAGTTCCTGGTCCCTGGCTCAGTTGTTAGCATCGCATCGCATTGCCGTCGACTGGGTTGGGCACTCACCATCTTGGAGTCTGTCCTCCGCGCTTGTCCGTCTTGGTCTTCTTTGCTTCCTTGCCCAAGCGGGCAGCCGCATAAGGGTCCTGCTTGCCCATGGTCCGCTTGTTGGGCAAGTTCCTGGCGCGGTCCATGATGACGACCAGCGTGCCAATCACAGGTCCGTCGACGGTCATGTCGGAGAAGATGCCGGCCGTGTGTCCAACATTGCCAAAGGTGGCGAGGTTGATTGCCTTGGTAGCCATGATGCACCCGCGAATCCGGCTTGCTCAAATCCAGTCCAGTCCAGCCAGCACGCGCGTGTTGGATTGGATTGATTGCGTGAAGAAATCGTGGTCTCGTCCAGGGAATTGAAGTGCATATGCCGTAAATGGCAAGGTGTCCGAGAAGGTATTCGAGGAGGTATGGAAAAGTAAGGGTATGAAAGTCGAGTAGGAAAGAGCCGCAGTGAATGTCGTAACCGTGTGGCGTCACCGTGTCCGTGCAGCAACAACAGTAGTAGTAGTAGTAGTAGTAGTAGTAGTAGTAGTAGTAGTAGCAGCAGCAGCAGCAGCAGCGCGACGTGTATGAGAGATAGAGAGCGAAGACAATAACAACGACGGCAAAGGTTTGGGTTCTTTTGGAATCTTCTTTTTCTTTTCTGGTTATGATAGCAGTGAAAGAGTGACGGTCCTGGAATGGCGGCCTCCTCGCGTGTGTGGGCGGCTGGGGGTGGAATTGGGCGCGGGCAGCGAGTCTTAGGCGGCCTCGCTGTTTGTGTTTACTTACATACAGTACCTAGCTAGCTCCCACCTCCAGCTCTTCAAAGGGCCGCCGTTCGTTGGTATCATCTTCTGATGTGGCTGGCGAAAAGTTCCCCCCCACCCCAAAGCCCAGCCTCTCCTCTCAGCTCTCAGGCCCCAGTCGTTAGTCGTTATGGGAGAGAAGGCGGCCCCCCCCCCTTGGCCTTGGCCTTGGCCTTAGCCCCTGCCTGCCCCCCTGCCCCGCCAATCAAACGCGCACATGGCCGCCCCACCGATCACCCACCTTCACTTCCGTCCGATCCATCATCTGCCCTCCTCTGCCATTGTCTGCCATGATCGGTTCTCCTATCACGGGTACCTTGCATCCTCCTACCTACCTACCTACCTAGTCTACACTAAACTCCTCTCATCTATAGCTTCTCCCTGTGGATGGCCCCAGATACCGGTTTCTTATTCTGATTCCAGTCGGGCCCCTCCCCATCCTGCGAACGATGGTATGTAAAGCATTGTTCCAAAGAACATGTGAAATGCAGCCTAATGGTTGGCGAGGGGCAGGCGAAGGATTCCACTGCACACACAATCCCTCCCATCTTATCGCGCCTGTCAAAGTGACAAAGACAGCCTCACTGCGTGTCAGCATTGTACAGGACCCTGCGCACATCCTTGTACATGATATAATAGCAAAGGTAGTACGTACGCAATCCCATTGCCATATTTCCTGTTCCCCTAGCCTTTTCCCCCAGTACAAAGGCGGGTGAAAGCTAAGGTGGTGGGGGTGGTGGTTGTACATGGCGACTCGGGGTATCGTGGTGGGCTGGCTGGTTGCCTTGTTTACTCACTCCTGTGTGCTTTGAAGGTTGGCTGGGACCTCACCCCCACCTCGACACGTGATCTTCCACCTAGCCAATCATCCATCATCACCGTCTTTTCAACGCGTCCCAATGCCTCCCAACGCGTCTCTGGCATCGAAGAAAAGAGTGCACATGATCAAGTGAACCCCCTGGTCCCCTTCATCCTCAACAATCGCGAAACATGTCTTGTTCATGGTTCTGGTTTCTCCATTTGCGCGCCAGTTGACACCACCTAGGCTTGTCGTTGACCAGGCACCCAGCCGACGCAACAAGGGTCATCGTGCATCTCCCGCGCCCCAGTCGCACGATCAATTCCAGTTGGGTTCATCCCTCTCCGCCCGCTTTGGCTTGATTTGTTTACATGCATCTTCCGCTTTGGAAATCTTCGTGGCTGGAACACCGCGAGTGTGCCATGTTTGGCGTACCGGCAATGGGCCGAGTATTATTGGCCGAAATGGGTATAGACATGGAAGAGGTCACTTGTGTACAAAGATCATGAATGGGTCCTGGGTCATATGTATTGCCGACAGCCAGGAATCCATGGCCATTGCATGGTTGATGCTGGATGCCGGATGACTTTCTCATCACACATGCACGCATTTTCAAAGTGAATCAGGTGGTGGCATGTCATATGACCATGGGTTTAGCGTCGGGCGACTTGGGCTTTACTCCGAGTGGTTAGAATATCCCTGTAGGTTCAAGTCCACGTCACAGCGGCAAATTTTTATAGTTATATAAACTAGCCTATAGTTAAGTATAAATTAGGGTAATTTAAGCAAGTAAACGTAGTTTTTATTACTATCTTTTTTAAATATATTCTAAACCTATTCTTAATAATATATAGGCGTTCCTAAATACTATACTAGAGTTTAGTATAGCAGTACTAGATAATATATCTAAACTAGATAGTAATATTAGAGATAAATTTAGGCAACTATATAAAGTGCTAGAGGAGGATAGTAGTAGTAGCGTTAAGGAAGTAAGTAAAAGTAAATAGAATAAGTTTAGAATAGGTTAGTAACACGTTATAGGGGTATAATATATACCTTACTTATAGTAATAGTTAAGAACTACTACTTATACTAGTAATTATTAAGCATGCAGCTATTCTCCTAGTATACCCTTAATTATATAGCTAAGGGTATAGGTATATAATACTAGTTTAGCAATATAAAGATAGCTCTTACCTAACAAGAGAAGAGGTGCTTGTGCAGGCTATATAGGTAACACGTTAAGAACACGTTCTTAAATTATTCTAATTCTAGTAGGTATAATACTCCTGCTAGTCTGTCTATCTTAACAGGCCTACAACTTTACTATTCTTTAATAGCTAGCTAGCAAGCTAGTATAAATACTAATACTCTAGGGTAAAAGCGTGTAAGTATCTTAAGAATATATTATAAACGTATTCTTATCACGTTATTAATAACGTATTGTATAATTAGATCTAAACCTTAAAAAGTGTAGTACCTAAGAAAATTCTATAAAAAGAACTATAAATAAGAAGCTATTATTATAGCCTTATTAAGCGCTTCTCTTTAAGGATTTATAAGGACTACTAGGTATCTTATTATCCTGTAATAAGGACTACAGTAAATTAGGTAGGGAGCAAAACTTAAACATGTTTAAAACGTGTTAATAATAAGTTAGTAAATTATAGAATAGGCTTAACTATATATTAGCTATTAGAACTATAGCCTAATATCTGCTACTAGGAAAAAATATTATTTTAGTTAGGTACTACTAGAGGTAGACTCTATATATCTATAAGGTCTTCTAACTAGGGAGATATTAAATCTTTCTAGTAGTCCTGCTTTATATTCTATAGTTAAGCCACAGTTAAGCTAGATAAAGAAGTGTAGTAGGTATATTGCAACCTATTCCTAACACGTTCCTAATATGTTCTAGGCAAGTTAATTATCTATAAGGGTAAGGATCTCTATTTAAAATCCTGTGTAAAGTTACCTTCTAAGTAATTATACTAATAGATATAGTAGCAATACCTTTTTTTACTATTATTTCTTTTAGTATATATATATATATACCTCCTCCTCCCTTAACACTATCTAATAGTAATATTAAGGAAGTAGTAAAGGTGTTATAGCCTATGCTTACTCTATAGCTTACGCGATATAAGTTATTTGTAACCTGTTATAAATGTGTTCCTAACTTATTATAGCCTAGTTCCTAAACTTAACCTAGCTCTAAACCTATCTCTAACTTAAAGGTTTCTATTCTATTAAAGAAATGCATATTAGCTTTGTAAATAAAGATAAAATCTTGCGTATTATAAAGCGTAAAAAGCTTCTATAGTTCCTATTTAAGAGTAGCCTTAGAGGAGTACACTATAAGTAGAGGATAAAGTATTAGGATCCTAAAACTATACATAGTATAAGAGAACAGGTTTAGAACATATTACTAACACATTACTATAGGCGTATATATAGTAAATCTTTATATTAAACTTAAGTAACTTAATTATTTACCTTTTTAAAGAGCAGGCATTAATTCTATTAGATTAAGACACGTTCTAGATAGATATGTTATATAAGAGGTTGTATAGGGCATAGGTAGAGATTCTAATAGTAATCTTCTACCTATAGGAAAAGAAGCGTACGCATTAAGAATAGGTTTATAACACATTTCTAATATATTGTAGTTATTATACTTAGCTAAATTATTATAGATAAGGATACAACTAAGATATATTAAGTTGCTATTACTAACTTCTTTTAGAAGTATAAAGCACTTATAAAAAGACAAGTGTTATAGAGGTATATTTACTTATAGGGATTCTATAGGACTACTATTAATATATATAATAAGTAGATAATAGGCAAGTTTTATAGTGCACTATAATATGTTTATAACGTGTTTCTAACTTGTTTCTAGGACTTAGGCGCTATCTCTAGTTAATTAATCCCTACAAGCGTAACTAGCGCTAGTAACTTTAATCTTGTATAAGATTTTATTAAGTATATCTACAAAGAAGTATTTATAAAGTATGTAAAAGAGAGCTAGATAATACTACCTCTTTACGTCTAAGTGAATTACTATAGGTATTAATAGTAGAGGAATACTTTTAGCTTGCTAACCTCCTCTTACGTAAGTAAATATATTCTAAACCTATTCTAAATATGTTCCTAACTTATTCTTATATAATTAGAACACAAACCCTCTAAAGATACCTAAAACTAGGCAATCTATAAGAAAAACCTAGTAATTACTACTAGGATTATACAATACTGTAGTAAAATATTAAAAGAGGTATAGGAAAAACTAGAATCTTATTTAAATATAGCTAAGCAAGCAGGCTAGAAAGGATATAAAACTAGTAAGCATGTAAGTATTCTTAAGGCTACTTAGAAGTAAGTTTATAACCTATTCTTAACCTATTAGAATTATATAAGTAATATTGTGTAGTGCACACTAGATAGATCTGCAGGATATAAAAGAGTTTAAAGCCTAGAGTAAGTTTAGAATACGCTATAACTATAGAACTCCTAATAGGCTTAAGCAAAGGTACCTTAAAAAGCTTTAGAGGGGAGAAAGTAAGTCTTACGCTAGTGTTATACACATTCGCTAATTAAAACATGTTTAGAACATGTTTAGAACGCGTCCTATAATAATAATAACACTCTAGATAATAATAAAGCAAGTCTTGCTATATCTAACTTAACTAGATATATCTTAGTCCTAATAAGAAATAAAAGAGCACGCTTAAAAGCCTAAAGCTAGAGGGCAAGTAGTAGAGTAGTATTAGAAAGAAGTTCACTAGCCCCTTTTCTATCTTCTCTACTACTAGGCTCTTCTCCTCTACTAATAGTAACCTAAAGGTATGCTTCGCGAAACACGTTTACAACACGTTCCTAACTTATTATTAGTCTATAACTATAAACTTTATAATAAAAGGCTCTTCTTAGTAATTAGGCTCTAAAAGAGAGAAAAGAAAAGCTAGAGGTAGATAAGGAAGAACTTATATAGAAAAAGGTACTATTTAAATTATAAAAGGTATAGTTTAAACTTAAGAAAGAGATAGCTACTTTTTATATAAGGTAGGGTTAGTCTATAAATATAGTAACTAGTTCCTAACTAGTTCTTAATATATTCTAGTCTATCACGTAAGTATATATAAGTGGATAAATATATATTCTTTCTTCTTCTCTTTCTTCTTCTTTCTTCTTACACTCTATAAGAACTTTTTATATTTAAGAGTTTAATACTATTTTACTATCTATCTTTCCTAATATTATTAGATATAACTAGTTAATATAGTCTATAAAGATCTTTTAAAGTTAGTATGTAATAGAACATGTTAAGAATATGTTGTAAACTTATTCTAACACTAAGTAGGATTTATACTAGCAATATATTAAGCTTAAGTCACTTCTATCTAATACTAGGGTATTCTCTCCTATAATATCCTACCTAAATAATAGGTGTATAGTATTTCCTAGCAAGCTTTTCTGCTAGGCTATTTAGGCTAGATTAGGGGTATAGGAACTTTGTAGAGTATATATATATGCGAGTTAGAACACGTTTATAATATATTAATAACTATTTTAGTGTTGCTTCTCTAATAGAGGTAATCTTATCTACTACCTTAAGAGGTATTATCCTAAGGTTTAAATAGCCCTAGTAAACTATAGTAGAACTATAATATAAGGTATTGTAGAAGTAAGGATCTTCTATAGAAGCTTAATAGTAAATGCTTAAGAACGTGTTCTAAACACGTTAATAATACATTCTCTGCTAGTAGAGCAGACTATACTAAGTGCCTCCTCTAAGGTTTAAGAACCCTCTAAGATAGCTAGTCTATAATAAGAAGTAGTAGCTAGAGTAGAGGCTAAAGAGGAAGTAGAGAGTAAAGAAGAGGAGTAAATAGTTGCTCCCCTTTACACTATAAATAATATTTAGTAAAAGTAGTAAAAAGGAGATATAAGTCTAGTCTCTTAAAACATGTTTAGAACATATTAATAATACGTTATAGCTAGATACCTATAAATACTAGATTCTTCTTTAATCTAAGGGACTACTAGAGCTTTATAATACCTATAAAAGTTAAAAGAAAAAGTTATATACTATTAAAGGACCCTATAAAAGTAAATAGTACTTTACTTTTAGTAGATAGAAAAAAAAAGAGAAGAGTAGAGAGTTTATTTTAGTAATTACTACTACCCCTTTAGGTTATATACTATTATATATTATTTATTAGAACCTATTCTTAATATATTCTTAATATGTTCCTACTTATTACTATTATTATCTCCCTCCCCCTCTCTAGTATCTTCTCTATCCTCCCTATCCTCCCTAGGCTCTATAAAAGCATACTACAAGTAGAACTAGGCGGCATTCTAGCAGGAATTAGTAAGGTCTACACTAGTATTAAAGTAACAGTCTTAAAATATATTAGGAATAGGTTAATAATATATTGTAAACAACTTATTATAGCTAGGATAATTATAAGCGTAGATAGTATAAGGAACCTAATAACCTTAAATCCTTAGTAGGGTAGATATAGTAACAAAGTTAAGCTATAATAAGTTAGTAATATATTTTTAATAGGTTCTTATAGGCTATACCTTATTACTATTATAGCTACTATAAGTCTTCTTCTAAATTATATTTAGGAGGGTATTAGTATTTATAGGGGGGCCTATAGTAGCTACTAGCTAGGCTTAGAGAACTTCTATAAAATACATTAGTAATAAGTTTTAAATATATTCTAAATAACTTATAGTAAGGAGTATTCTAGTAATTATATATAACCTTTATATAGAAGTTTATATATATTAGTATAATAAGTTAAGAATAGGTTAATAATATATTTACTCTTTGCCTTACGGACCTCTATTATAAAGGGCTAGCTAGTCTTCTTAACCCTACTAACCTTATAGTAGGCTATATTAAGCCTATAATCTTTTTTAGCATAGGTATATAGAGTGCCCCTAGTACCTAGAATAGCCTAAGAATATTAGAACCTATTTAGAATACATTTAGAACCTATTCTTACTCTATATAAGGTGCCCTTATTATTAATCTTAGTATAGTAGTAGCGCTCTCTACTCTCTATCTTAACTACCCTATTAGGGCTAACTATAGGCTATGCCCTAATATTATCTAGGACGTAGCTAAGGGCAAGGTACTATTAATAGTACTTCTATAACCTATTAAGAACACATTCTAAACACATTTTAATCTGCTTATATAGGATAAGAGGGATATGTTAGTAATAGGTATAGTAGTAGTAGCTTATAGTATTACTAGTATAGAATATATTTAGAATAGGTTTAGAACGTGTTGCAAAATCTTATAGTATAATATTTAGTTAACCTCGCTTAGCTAGCTAGTAGAGCTTAGCACAGCCTAACCCCATGCTAAATACAAGTTCACGCAGCGCTAATTCCATGGTCATATGAACTGCGCCCTCGTGAATCAGTATGCTAGAATGCCAGCCTATCTTGAAACTCCATTCCACCGACAGCTAGGCTGGAACACTGCCTGGGTGTAGAGTAGGTACCTGGTCCTGGTAGGAGCGACCGCAATACCTGCCAAATGCAAAAGTGCGTGGCTGGCGATGGCTCAAGCCTCACAGTGATGATCGGCCTCTTCCGTCAACACATACGTTCTCAATAAATTCGATAAATGAGTACCGCGGTCTCACATGAGACGAAGGAACAAACAAAAATAGGCTCATGTCAGTGTAGATAATAGAGGCATCTCTTAAAAGCAAAAATATCAAGCATGGCTTGGATCGCCCCCAAAAGAAGCATGGCGCCTGTCCACAATCGTCGCGCGGCAGGAGTGGGGCAATCCCGTGACACCGCGTTTTCGTGTTTTCGCGCCAGACGTGTCGCGGCCCGTGTCGTCTCATGAGTCGTCATGACATCGTCGCCATGATGCCAAAGCACGCGTCAAAGCATATGCTGCACTCACCTTGACTTCCTTCCGACTGCCAACAAGCTCATAAACGATGCTGCGACTATGCCCACCGAAACCCCCTCCCCGCACCGCTTCCTAGCTCCTCGTGCGACCGCCGCGCAACAGCCAAGGCAAAAACTACAATCAGGACTGCGCAACGTCTTGGCTGTCCAGACGCCAAAACCTGCGCTTCGAACGCTGCAAGCGCCTACGCCTGATACACAATGGAAGAAAGTCACGTCCGCAAGACGATTCGTCATTCCGCCTCCACGAGCCGCGCCAAGTGTGGAAGCACCCGTGAAGGCCACAGAGGAGGAACATGAAACGCAAACCACCAATGTGCTTTCACAAGAGACACCGCGACCAAAGCCGCGGCGGAAGTGGGAACGCGTTGAAAGCATACAAGACTCGTCACAGTCCAGCGCAGCGGCCACCCAGGAAGACCTCCACGGCGAAAGCGTAGCACAATCCATTGAGAATTCCAGTCCATTGACCAACTCCAATACGCAAGTCGACCAGGATTCCTCCGAAGAAATGCTCTTCGCGCCTTCAAACCACAAGCGCCGCCGCATCTCCCCACTCGGCTCGTCCTCGCATCCCCAAGCCCCAACGCCGCAAACACCCCTCCCTCAAACATCCCATCGCTTCAAAGCCCCCCCCATACCACGCACCCCAGCCCCTTCTCTCCCTAACACATCCAAATACCCTGCTCAAACCTCACCACCACCAACGGCCCCAATTCATCCTCCCACCCCACCCAACCTCGCCTCCCAAACCCTCCAAACCCCTCCCCGAAATCTTCTCTCCTTCGCGCAAATCCGCGAAATACATCCCCGACGGTCTCGCTTCCACAATGACGACCTGGATCATCGAGGCGGCGAATGCAGGGTTTGCGGCCCAGGAGCGAAGTGCTGGTGGCAGTGTGGTGTGGGGGCGCGAGAGGGAGGATGGAGTCAAGTTGCGTGTGAGGGTTAGGGAGGTGGGAGGTGCAGCTGTGGATGCCGGTGGGGATGGGGGTGCAAGTAGTGTCGAGTGTTTTCCGGGTGGAATCGTCTTTGTAACGGGGGAGTTGGTGGATGAGCGGTCCAATACTTCGAAGTCTGGCAGCGTGCGTCATGAAGACAGCCTCGTGGGGCTTTTGCTGGCTGGGGTCGGGGGAGCGAGGGGCAAGACGGGAGTCAAGCTGAGCAAAGGGGTGCTGCTGGGTATACGGGCGCCGGCGTGGGAGATTGACATTGCTGGGGAAATGTGGACGGTGGGCGTGGATTGGATGCTCCTTTGAGTGCGATATTTTGGGCTATAATGATGCATGGTACAACTTCAAACCACAAATGTTTTCAAAATCCTCAACATTGTTATCAATTCCTCCATCACCTCACGCTCCAGCCCCAGCAAAGGACCCCTCCTGTCGCTGTATACTGAACTCCTTTTCTCACCCTCACTCATTCATATGAATCTGAGATGGCAGTTTTGGCCAATTGCACATCTGGGAGTAGAGCTCTCATATCATGTCTTGTGTACGCAGACAATAGCAATGTCACGGTGCAGTACGGAGATGTTGGGGGAAGCGCATGGTAAGCCCACAACAATGAAGTATCAAACTCCTACCAACTAGATAGAGAAACCACACTCTGTATACTTGGCCTTCTCATGTAAGTACAGATACACCCATGTGACATGAATCATTCACATGACATTCACGTGACATGAATCAAGAATCAAGACATCCTCTCGACACTGCAGTGACGCCATCGCTCCATCGGGAGCAACCAACTGCGATCGACTCCAGCCAATGTGATTCGCCATGATTTGACATCATTCTAGAAGCCCTTATCTCCCTTCTATATCGCTCAGTGGGGCACTGATCACTCACATGCGAACACGTACGTACGGTACCAGCATGAAATTCCCTCAGTGCTCACTATGCTCGCGTCGGCGATTGCGCTGCATCGGTCCGCACGAGATTCGCTCATTCAATCCAGTCCAGTGTCGTCTGTGGGGACCCTCGATAGCCGCTGTACATCACCCCCCGCTTGGTTGCACACCGAGCAAGCGTTCGAGGGGTGTGCAATATACGTTACGCAGCGGAGACGGCAGAGTAGGACAGCGCGAGCTTCGGGACGGATCGAGAATGACCGTCGCTTACCGTACCTAGGTACGATAGCGCCGCCACCCTCTTCCCCGCCAGCCCATCCATGGCCACGTCACTTCACTTCATCAACTCGCTCAGGTTTGCAACTTAGCCGTCTCTTCTTGATGCGCGCCCTTGCATTGCAGACCCTGCCCTATCTTTGGGCGCCCAAGAGCATCTCGGTGGATGGTGATCCGCGTGGGCTGGCGGACCCAAGATCCCGCGTGCGCCAGGCTCCGCTGGCCGCCAATTTTGGCCTCTCAAGAGTAACCATGGACGATGCACCACGCTCCGTGTTGGTGACGCATCTGCAGCTAAACCTGACATCGAACCAATGATCACGATACCATCGGTTACGAGAACCCACCTGCCGGAATCTCTATTCTTCACATTGAGCGAACTATGTCTCCCTACGTGGTCCAATGGGATGAGTCTGGCGGCTGGCCAAGCTTGCCTGCCCAACCTGAGCACAGAGAGCCAGACAACATGAGGCTTACAGGGCCGATGCGACAAATCTGCGCGAGGCTTCCTCATTGCGATTCCTCGCACCATGTCTCGTGACAATTAACCTGCATCTGGCTCTGCCTCTCCTCTCCGCGATTTCGTCACAAACCCAATCTCCGCCCATTTGCGCCACGCACATTGCATCCCCACATGTCTAATGCCTTCCATCCGGTCAAAATCTGTGGTTTCATTCGCCTCTGCATACCTGTCTCCACACTCCACGTTTGATATCGCCATTGTGTATCACCCCTTTGACTTACTCAACCATGGAGCGGACAAGGCCACAGATATAGCGTGTTGCACAGCTTAACAGAGCACTAACCCTCGAAACACTGCATTGGATCTTTCCAATCTCACAATGGCCGGACGTCAGTTCCCAAATGTATCCATCTCGTCTTGGTCGATCAATCCATACACTGGGGCCAAGCCAGACACCACGAAAGGCTACTATGTTGCCGTGGCCCCTCCCCAACAGCCTTACGCACACAACCCAATAATTTTGCCTCGAAATCCGATATATCCCACTGCCGTCCAAGAGAAAGGTAACGATAACAAAGACGATGATGATCAAGCAGGTATGCTTGGGTAGCTTGAAAATCTCGAATTGCATCATTAATCGTTGTGAACACAGGAGGCATACCCATTACACCAGACACATCAGTGGCTCAGGGCCCTTCCGAAGCCGCTTCACCAACACCTGAGGTACCTCCACCACCTAGCCTGGAAGCAGTCTCTCCTGAAGCGCCTCCCTGTCCAGAAGACACACTCACATCTCCCCCAACTTCACTCTCACCTCCCTCTCCTGATGCCTCTCCAGACTCACCAAACGCACAGGCATCCGATGACTCAGCACAAGCAGGGAAACAGGCTGGAGTCAATACGGGGGCACCGGATGTCAAGGATGAACCACCTGGTTCCAACAGCCCTGCGGCTGCTACGACAGACGCAGAGCTTGCTTCGCCGCCACCTGCTGAGGAGATTGACACAACGACTGAACAACCAGTGACTAGTGATTCAGCGCCCCCACCTCCGCCCTTGGATCCCTCGCCTGTGCCTGAGCCCGTTGTTATCGACGCCGTGAAGAGTGGTGAGTCCGAGCAGGCCGCTCAAGAGCCCCCCAGATCCCCGGTTGACAAATTTGTCCGCTTTTCTTCTGACACGAAAGACCCAGACGCAGGAAGTGCCAAGAAGAGGAAGAAGGTGATGATCAACAAGGGCAAACCGACTGCATTCGTACGTATCAGAGACACAGCTCCGCCCAAGACGTCCTCGCCGCCACCGCCGCCCAAGGAGGATAAGCCCAAAGTCGTCAATCCCGTGAGTATCATGAAGAAGACGGAGCGAAGAGGATCCACGCTCTCCGTTTCTTCGATTGAAAAGCCGATCCTCGAGGCCGAATCGCCGACGCATCCGTCCAAGAAAGCTAGCAAAGCTACGGGGTGGAGCAAGAAGAAGGACGACAAGAAGACTAAGAGCAAGACTGCGAATAAGAGTGGCAGCACGCCGCCGTCGGAGGCCAAGTCAGGAGCGGAGGATGTTTCGGCTGTATCTGTTGCTGAACCGGTCGAGCTGGCGAAAGACGCGACGGCTGAGATGACCTCTAATGACGATACCCCATCTGATCCTCCTGCTGAGCCCCAGGCTATCAGTGCAGAAGAAGGAGGTACTCCTGCTAAGCCTGCTGCTGAGGTATCTGCACCTGAAGTATCTGAGCCTGAAGTTGCTCAGCCTATAGTATCTGAGCCTGAGGCATCTCAACCTGAGGTTTCTGAACCAGTAGATTCGACTCCATCAGCTGATACAGATGTTCTACCACCACCAACACCAGAGCCCGCAGCCGATCAGGATTCACCTCCAGCCGATAACCCTCCCCACGTCGACGAAGATGCATCCGATACAATCTCTTCAAATAGCGAGCATACTTCGGACACAGGCAGTGTGGCCGTAAGCGAAACCTCTGTTGAGAGTGGAGAAGGCCCAGCAGATGAGCCAGTCGTTGAGACAGGATCGTCGACTGAAGATGCTCCAGCGGCCGGAGAGGCCTTGGATGAATCGTCATCATCACCACCTGAACAGTCTGTCGAAGTTGTAGAGGCTTCTGGAGAACCGTCGTTGCCACCTCCTGAGCTGGTAGCTGAGACAGTGTCTGAGTCGGCGGGAGAGGCGGCGGCAGAGCCAGTGTCTGAGACAACAACTGAACCAGCAGCAGAGCCTCCACCCGAGCCAACAGCAGAGTCGTCATCTGAGCCAGCAGCAGAGACGACGTCTGAGTCAGTAGTAGAACCAGTGTCCGAGCCAGCAGCAGAGCCAGCAGCAGAGTCTTCAGCAGAGTCTTCAGCAGAGTCTTCAGCAGAGTCTTCAGCAGAGTCTTCAGCAGAGTCTTCAGCAGAGTCTTCAGCAGAGTCTTCAGCAGAGTCTTCAGCAGAGTCTTCAGCAGAGCCTTCATTCGAGCCAGCACCTGGGCCAGCACCTGAGCCAGCTTCTGACAAGCCAATATCAGAACCCGCGTCTGAACCAACAGCAGAGTCAGCACCAGAGCCCACGTCTGAACCAGCACCAGAGCCTCCATCTAAGCCAACAGGAGAGCCACCATCCGAGCCAACAGGAGAGCAAGGTGAAGCTACTCTTCCAACTCCAGATGCTGTGGCTGAGCCTGATTCGACACCCAAAGAAGCGTCTGTCGAAAATCCCACTCCTGACGACGCAGTGATGACGGACGAGGTGACGACGGGTGCCGAAGCTACAGCCGTCGTTAAAGTTGCTGATGCTGTCGAGGCGCCACAAGACAAGGAAGCAGCCATGACAGCTGCAGAGGAAACTAATTCTAAACAGTCGATATTGGAAGAGAGCACACAGAGCGTTAATGAAGCTCTTCCTAGCGATGAAATTCCTGCAGTCGGCGAAGCTACTGCTGTCGAGGAGACTCCTTCTGCTGTTGAGGAGGCTCCTGCTGCTGAGACTCCTGCTCTTGAAACTCCTGTTGCTGAGACTGATGCTGCTGAGGAAGCTCCTGCTGAGAGTTCTGTTGCTGGAAGTCCTGCTGCTGCTGAGACTGATACTGCTGAGGAAACATCTACCGCTGAGACTCCTGCCGCTGAGGAAACTTCCGCCGCTGATCAGTCTCCTTCAATAGATGAGAGTCATGTGGCTGATGTTACTCCCGGCATCGACGAAGCGTCACCCTCCAAGCCGTCTCCTCCCGCAGCAGAAACCAGCGGGTCGAGTAATGAATCAAAGTTGGAAGAAGCGGCCGATGCCGCCGACGCTCCATCTACCGAGTGCGCCCCAGCTGATGAAGTAAGCACACCGGAAGCTACTTCAGACTCTGCCGTGAACCCCAACGAAGACGACATCCTTGCAGCTAGCAATGACTCTACAGATGCGGGGCCAGCTGCAACAGATGTCGCACAGGTCGATGAGGAGTCAGTTGAGCCGCAAGATACAGCCACGGAGGAAGTCTCTCGAGCAGATGTTGCAACCGAGGAAGCGCAGGAGCCGGCCGCAGACGCCTCATCTGCAGAACCGGTTCCTGACGAGCCTATCCAACCAGAACAAGAGGCTCTCAGAAATATTTCTACAGATGAGCCAGAGGCTGTCATTGCAGAGTCAAAAGATGGTGAAAAGGCGGCAGTTGCCGCACCAGATGATTGCTTCCAGTCTGAAGCTGTGACTGAGAACATGGCTACTAACACCGAAGACACGTCTGCTACTGATGCTGCAAAGGAAGATGTACCAGATAAGACCCCGGCATCTCCCGAAGCGAGCTCTGACGTTGTTGACTCAAAACTTGATGCCGAAGCTGTTTCTGGTGCGAGCGACCATAAGTGCAGCGAAAGCGAGTCGGAGGATGTAGAAGATGCTACTCTGCCTGAAGCAGCAGAAGACACCAGTTGTGATGTCAGTGTTGAAGTTGAAGCTGTCGCCAATGCACTAGAGGAAATATCAAACGATGAGTTGCATACTGAGCAAGCCGAGCTCATCGAGCAAACCGCCACTGAAACAACATCATCAGATGACGCCATCACTGCAGCGGCAGCCGAATCATCCATCGACGCAACATCACCCGACTCACCGGCGGATCTGTCTAAGCCTCAAGAGAATGGGCCAGATGGTCCTCAAGGCGAAGTTATAGCTGTGAATGCTGATGTTTCGGAGGGCTCGCCATCCAAGGAAATTACTTCTGATGCCCCAGACAGTAAGGATGAGGCCACAATCGTTGAAGAAATGAGCCCTCATCCTATATCAGGAGATACCCCCGACGCGGCGGAGATTCCCGCAGACATCCCCGAGCACAACGAAGAATCTGATGCTGCGGAAAGCGTCGAAGCCTCAGTAGTCGCTGAGGCTGCTGAGGCCACCGAAGTTTGCATGGTCACAGAAGTCACCGATGGATCAGCCAATGCCTCGTCGCCAGAGGACACCACAGAACCTACCGACCAGTCGGTACCTGCCGAACAGAGCGTGGGTCCGACAGACGTGGCTGGGGAAGTAACTGATACTTCAGTCACTGACTCTGTTGCTACATCTGAGCCAGTTGTGGATGAAATACACGCAGAAGCTGAGGCATGTGATATCGAGACACAAGTCGATGTAGATGCTGTGGAAGTAGAGTCACCGGCTTCCCAGGATGTCTCCGCTACAGTTTTGGATGAAAGTCCAAACGCCTCAATCGAGCATTTTACTCCAGATGAAATTGCAGATTCGGTAGCTGAAGGTCCAGGAGCAATGGAGGCCGACGTACAGTCCCCCCAAGACACTGTCGCAGCTACGACTGAGACTAGTACATCAGATACGAAAGCTTGTTCCGCAGATCATGCAGAAATGGAACATCAAACTTTTGATGAAGCTCAAGCAGCTGCACAAGTCGAACCACCTACAGTAGCGGAAGAGACAGTTGCAGATGCATTACTGATTGAAGAGAAAACAGCCGAAACGAAAGCACAAGACGAGGCTCCACCTGATAGTGTCACCGAGCAAAACGAAGACGAAAATGAAACGGACCAAGCAACCGAAAAGTTTAATGATGTTGCGGGACAGTCTGTTGAAGATGTTCCCGACGAGCCTCAGCTCGCGGAAGTCGTTGACGAAGTCAAGCAGCCTGAGATTCTCCCAGCAGAGACTGCGGAAACATCCGACCAGGGATCCGGTACGTACCTTTTTTCTCTCTGCACATGTTCAGCATTTTGCCTGGGCTCGTTCGGTCCAGTTGCGCGTTCCCACGTATTCCTCAATAGTCCAACGCATACAGCGAGTCGGGCCACGATAGAGTTTCAGGGTGCGGCGACGGGACGCCCAATTGGGCGTTAGTGCTAACTAACGCACGTTTCTCGATCATCGCCAGCACATTTCTTACGTCACCGCACATTTACTTTAAGCTTCACTTTCATTCCCAGTCACGTGTCTGCACTTTCTTCCTTGGGTACACTTCGGGCTCCAATGCATCTCGGTGATGCGCCGCAAATCAGGACACGGATGACAGAACGGCCACGTTATTCTTGGCGTGCATCCCACCTTTTTTTCCTTTTGACATGTCAAGTTACTTCACAAAGTTACTTTTCTCGGCCGGTCGCGTGCCTGTATGCGATGCACCTGCAGTCGTTGTTGAGATTTCAAGACTTTATACTAGTTACATGAAGCATCGGTTACGATAAGAAGCCACTGACAGACTCCGGTAGACCCACCTGAAACAAATGCGCAACCGATAAACGAAAGTTGCGAGGCTATCCCAGCTACTGCTACAGCATTAGAGCCCATCGAAAGTGAGGCTGCCGAAGAGCACCGAATCGACACAGAATCTTCTCCCACCGACGAGATTAATTGTTCAAAATTCGATGACAGCGAGGTAATTGACCTTGAAGGTACACCTGTTGCAATCAGTCACGATGTCGCCATAGCGATCATCACATTAGAGGCTGAAAAAGCCAACGTAACAACAGAAATGGCTGGGGAGGCTGCTGTACAAGCGGTAAGTGCTACAATAACTTTGAGACCCTGCATGGACGTTGTAACCATGTTCTTGGGTTGTGACACTGGTAAGCATGGGCATTACGCTAACAATCTGTAGGCCATCCCGGATGATTTACCTGTAGAAACATCACCTTCTGCAGCCGAGGATACGACACTCGATAACGACGGCGCACATGACGAGGAACTAGAATCTCACAGTGAAGATGAATCTTCCATCACAAATGGCCCGAATACTTCCGACGCTGCAAGTTCGGCAACTGGCTCCGACGGGGGCCATGAATCTGAAGTCGATCTCGAGAACAGTGCGGAGCCAGTCGATGTGGAAGAGAGCGCAATTTCAAAGTTAGAGGATCAGCCAGATCCCGAAGCTTCCGTGTCCGATTCGTCATCGTCAACCATGAGCTCTGATGATGGCGCGAGCACAGTGTCGACAAGTGTGGATGGAGCGAAGCCAGATGAGGAGCAGCAAGACCTAGAACCCGAGAACATCGCAGAGCCACCGCCACCAGAAGTATCGGAAGATATCGAAGCGCCGTCCGACGAAGCTGCATCACCAGCTGCGTCTTCACCCGATGCTGCTTCGGACCAGACAGATACCTCGCCGGATGTTGAAGATAAGGCTGGAGCCGAAATAAATGCCACACCAGCCAACCCCGCCGATGAGGGGACTGCTAATCCTGAAGACACTGAGGATTTCCCTGCAGCTGAAGCAGCCGAGACTGCACCCGACCCCGATTCAGTATCTGAAGGAGAGGAGACTGCATCTGCAGACGTGGTTGCACCTGCAGAGGCACCCGAGGAAGACCAAGATAGCATGACTTCTGACAAGAGCGAAAATTTCGTGCCCTCCACTGAAGGCGACTCTCTAGCTGAGTCTGAGGCACAGGAGGGCGAAGCCATAACTGAGAATGCGGCCGACGCACAACCGGAGATTGAAGATAGAGCGCCAACCGCGGGGGAAGTGGCTGAGACTGAACAGACCAGTGGAAATGATACGCCAGACGTGGAAGATGCGCCTGCATCTGCACCAGCTGAATCCGAGGAGGCTAAGACTAGTGAGGAATCAACGGAAACCCCCGAGCTGATTACTGACACAGAAGTTACTCCTGCTGAAGGCGATGAGCCACCGTCAGAAGACTCACCAACTCCCATCGAAGCTAATGTACCGGAATCTACACCAACCCACGTAGAGGAAGAGAAGGAAGGGGAGGCTGCTCCTGAGCCGCAGCCAGATGCGACTGGGGACACAGCCGGCGCTGACGAATCCACACCTCAAGCAACGCAACCAGAGCCTGAAGTGGCAGACGAAAATGCTCCAGAGGGCGACAAATCAGAAGATGCACCTGCCCCTGAAGCGACCGCTGATGATGCACCGCAGGATGAAGAGGAACCAGCAGCAGATGATGCCACGGTAGCTGAGGAAGAGGTCGAGGATCGCGCGGAAGAAGATGGATCTGGAGACTCCCCAGAGCCGCCAGCGGAGGAAGCAGCCGCGCCTACCGACGATGCAGATATTGCAGACGGAGCAGATGAAAACGAAGAAGATAAAGATGAGGAAGCAGAGGAGTCTGCACCTGCTGTAGGCGAAGCAACATCGGATGCTGCTCCAGCAGAGTCACAGGAACCAAAAGAGGCACCAGAAGCCGACCTGCCAGCTCCAGATGCACCAACGGGACCTGCACCCGCTCCAGAAGAGGCGCCTGAGGAGTCTGCGGACCCAGTAGCTTCTGAATCGCCACGAGCAGAAGATGCTGCCGAGATTCAGGAGGCAGACGCAACGGCTGGGGATCCTGCAGAGGAGCCTGGGGTCTCCGAGGAGGCTCCAGCTGAGGAAGATGGAGAGGGAGAGGGAGAAGGAGAGGAATCACCAATCTCTGAAGTACCACAACCAACAGAGCCTGAACCACAAGCAGAGCCACCAGAGGAGCCCGAACCAGCTCCCGATGCTCAACCTGAACCTGAGCCTGAACCAGTTGTTGAAGTAGAGCCTGAACCTGAACCTGAGCCTGAACCAGTTGTTGAAGTAGAGCCTGAAGAAGCGCCTGGACCTGAAGAAGCGCCTGGACCTGAAGAGGCGCCTGAACCTGAACCTGAGGAGCCCGCGCCAGTTCCTGGAGCAGAGCCTGAACCAGTCGCAGAAGCAGAGCCCGAAGCTGACGCAGAAGCAGAGCCCGAAGCTGACGCAGAAGCAGAGCCCGAAGCTGAAGCAGAAGCAGAGTCAGCACCAGTCACAGAAGCTGAGCCTGAGCCAGTTACTGAAGAACCTGAACCAGTAGCAGAGCCAGTAGCAGAGGTTGAGCCAGAGCCAGAGCCAGAGCCAGAGCCAGAGCCAGAGCCAGAGCCAGAAGCTGAGCCAGAAGCTGAGCCCCAGCTGGTTTCTGAAGAACCTGAACCAGTTGCAGAGCCCATAGCAGAGCCAGAACCAGAGCCGGAAGCTGAGCCGGAGCCGGAAGCTGAGCCAGAAGCTGAGGTCGACGCAGCGCCAGAACCAGATATTTCACCAGAAGTCGAAAACTCACCAGATGTTGGCGTTGCACCTGAGCCTGAAGTCGAGGAAGAAGACGCGACGCTTGCGTTACCAGATGTCGAGCCAGAAACCGTTGTTCCCACACCGGAGACAGTGTTTGTCGAAACGTTCATCCAGGAACCTGCGAAACAAGAAGAGGAACTTGAGCCCACGATTGAGGCAGTAAGCGCTGGTGAAAGAGCGATTGGTGTGGCGGAGGTGTCTGAGCCACCGGCTCCACTTCCGGTGGCTGACAGTACAGCCAAAGAACGTGAAATCGCAATCGTTGACGGGCCTGCACTTGACACACCTAGCCGAGAAAAGCAACGACGTCGACATTCGCATACACAGCGCGATAGCAAACACTCATCTAACCGGAGACATGAAAGCGAAACAAGCGCCAAAGAGCGACCTACTCTTTTTAGTCTCGCTACAGGGAAGCTCGCAGGAAGTCCTAAGACTAAGCGCCGGGATAGTATCACGGAGCGAGACCCAGCGCGAGGCAAAGAGCGGGTACGTGAACCCGAGAAATCGCACAGCACCAACGACAGAGAACGAGCCTACCCAGAGCATCGCTCGAGCCGTCAGCGTGAGAGCAAAACGGAGGAAAAGCAGAGTAAGCGCCAAATACTAGAGGAGATGGAGCATGAGGCGGAAAGGCGTCGACGTCACGAGTTACGAAGGGCAGAGAAGCAACGTCTTGCAGCGGAAGAAGTTGCGCGGGTCGAGGCTGAAGAGGAAGCACAGCGACAAGCGCGCCGAGAACGTCGTCGTGCTGCCAAGCAAGCGGAAGAAGATTTGATTCGTGCTGAGCAGGAGCGTCGGCGAGCCCATGAGGAAAGGAAGATGGCTAAAGCAGAGGAAGAGAGGCGCATTCGGCACGAAAAGAGACGAGCAAAACACGAAGCTGAAAAAGAAGCTAGGCGTCTAGAACTCGAAAGAATCGAGAAGCTGGAGCTGGAAGCCTTAGAAGCTAAGATGTTACGACGGCAGCGGAGAGGTGGACGAGAGAGAAGTGCAACGCTGGAATCAACACATATAGCGGAGCCAGTCGAAGTACCACGTGACGTTGCTCGAAGAGTAGCAGAGGTTGACGAAGAGATCTTCGAAGCCCGTCGTCTGACTCCTCCGCCTGTTGTAGAAGAAACCCATCGCAGCGCTCCTCGCCGAAGACTGAGTACACGCGAGCCTCCTCCCAATGTCAAGCGTGGCGGTCTGTTCGGTGGTATATTTGGACGATCAAAACCTGAAGCGGTGACACCACCAAGGTCTTCCAAGTCTACTACCAGGATCCGAACAGAAATAATCGAACGGCCGAAGACAGCTACACGATCACCTCAAAAAGAGAAAGAGCGACCTTCGAGCAGTCATCATTCCTCAAGTGATGGCCGTCACCGGGAGCGTGTACATAGAAGCAGACGTGAATCAAACACCCAGCGCCCACGTCGTGTGTTTCAGTCAGCAGAGGAAGAAGATGAGTACTACCGACGCAAGGAAATGCGCCGCTCTCAGAGACCTCGCGACAACGAAATGTCCGGTGGTCGGGACGGTGGTGTATCATTCGCATCACAGGTTGAAGAACTGGGAGCACCCCCTCCTGAACCTTTTGAGCCCGATCCCGAGCCCGAGCTTGAGCCAGAACCAGTCTTCCAGGACGAGTCACCACTCATTGAAGATGCCGCCGGAGTCGTTGGAGTACCATCTTCCTCCTCCAACGAACATCGTGATCGCCGCCGCTCGAGACGCGATACAGGACTTGAAGAGCGACCAAAAGTCCGTCATGTATCAGTCAATGAAAAGGAAAGACCAGTAGGTCGACGTATCGAGTCTGATCGACCACGCGAACGCGAACGCGGCGAAGAACGCCAGCGTCCACGTCGAAGCGAGACCGAACGCAGAAGTGGGGCCACGAGCCGCAAGAGGAAGGAAGAGTCTAGTGGACTCAAAGGCCTATTAGGGGGTTTGAAGAAGTCTTTCAAGTGATTGCATACTTTTGAAATTTTGAAGTTTTTTTTTCACACGGTGGTTTTGGATTGAGAGAGATGGGAAGTCTTTTTCTTCATTTAAAAACGGTGGCGTTATTTTTTTCCGGTTGGGTGGACGCTATATACCAATAATTGAAATGTTTTTCTGGTTTGCTTCTATGTTTTTCTGTTTTGCTTCTATGTTTTTCTGTTTTCCTTTAATGTTTTTCTGTTCTCCTTCCATGTTTTTCTGTGTTGAAGTTTTGTTTGAGAGGATGTGTTTGGCTTGTTTATATGATCTTTTGACTTGTATCTATTCAGATTTGCTGTTTGCACTTTAGCTTGTGACGATTGTACGAAATCTAAGCCCCTTTATTTACCCTCACCCACGTGTTCTGCAATTTCGCCTCCGTACTAACGTGCACTTCTTCCTCACCCCCTGAACTGAACCCCATATCCCTAACCACTCGACTGAAGCGGAAAAAAACGTAGCGTCAATTCCAATCCTGACCAACACCCCCCTCACTCCGGCGTCAGATCCCCCACCCCCCACAGACGCGTACGTACATCTATAGCAAATTGGCCTGGCTGCTGTTGGCGCTGGGCTGGGTTGTATGGACAAAGAGGCTTGACGGTTTGGGAATGAGATGGCGTTGCGGGGTTTGCGATGGATGGATGGTTTGATGGATTGACAATTTTTTGTTTCTACAGCAACAGTGGGTATATCTGAGACTCAGAGGATGGGGAATTGACAAGTTGTGTATTTATGCTTGGCGTACTGCTCATGTCATGTATCTCAAGGAGTCTGGGAATTGTTTTACCACGACTTGTGCTAACGCAGCTGGAGGATGGGATGGATTCAAATCACTCCTTTGCGTACCCGCCACCCCCAGCGCACCTTGACGTATAGATGCGTGCACTTTGCAACTCACGTTTGATATCGAAAGTCTGGTTCACGATCCGTATATATCCTATCTTCGGGTCTGACATACCCCTCCGCAATCCTGTAATCCTTCTCCGTTTCCCTTCTCCTATATAAGCTCCTAACCAGCCACCACGCACACCACGCCACAGCGAGACAGCTCAGACTCCACGCATGACCGAGCGTGTACCTAGGCGCCGCATTACTCTGGTAGATTTGGCCGGAGACGACGCCGCCGATGTTAGTCAGTGTGAGGAGGATGCCGAGGGAGGCGGCGCGTTTGCCGTCCGGGGCGCAGTTTGCCGAGAGCCAGGTTATGTTGCCGCCGGTGCAGAGAAAACATGCGGTTGCGATCAGATAGGTTGCAAAGTACTGGGTCCCGGGGCTGGCGGGGGACAAGAGTATCGCGTATCCGGCGATGCCAAATGGCGCGGTGAGAACGAGTGGGAGGAAGCGAGTCTGGTGGCGGTCTGAGAGGTAGGCGCCGATGGCGTAGACGACTGCGCCCCAAAGGTTTACGGGGATGACGAGGTATTGGGACTAAATCATGTCAGGGCTTCATGTGTTTTTGAGGGCGGAATTTGCAGTGATGTACCTCTTTGACGGAGTAGTGGAATCCGCTCCTGATAATTATGGGCAGGAAGGTACCGAAACCGTAAAGGATCGTGACAACACATATCTAAATGCAACCGTGGAGCCAGCTTTTGGTGTCTTTTGCAGCCTCCTTGATGTCAGCTTTACCATAGTGGCCTGAGCCTTCCGAGTCGGAGTAGGCCTGTGTGCGAGCTGCTCTCTGTCGCATGAGCTGCTTCTCTTCCTCGTTCAGAAAGTACGCTGTTTCGAAGCTCTTTGGGACCAAGAAAATACAGCATGCAGCCCAGAGAATAGTTATGATGCCCTCGAGAACATAGAGCCTTTTGAAGTTTACTTTTAGTTTATACGATCATTGGTAGAAACAGAATTAACTTACCACCGCCATCCTGGCCAGCCTCCTACGCCATTCATGTACAAGATGCCAAACGCAATCAACCCACCGAAAGCTCCTGATAAAGCAGACGCTATGAATAGATAGGCGATGCGAATCCCAAGCTCTTCTCGTGTGTACCAGTTACACAAAAACAACGTCATGGAAGGGAAAAGGCAGCCTTCAAAGAAGCCAAGGAAGATGCGTGTTGTAACTAAACCTGCAAAATTTTGCACGAAACCCATGCAAAGACATACGAGGCCCCAGGATAATGTAATCGTCGGAATGACGCGATTGAACTGTAGACGCTTGACAAGTATCGAAGTTGGAAACTGTGGTTTTGATCAGCAATAGAAAGCAATCGATTGGGCAACTACATACTTCAGCAAGGATGTAGAAGATGTAGAATACCGAGACCGCAGTCTGGATATCATTAGCATCATTAGCATCTTACTCATGATAATGCAGGCATTGCACATACGTTGAGTTCGCTGCCTTTCAGTTCAATATCTTTTGTCATACCCTGGGTAGCTGCAAAGCCGATATTCCCTCTATCCAGATAACTGATCAACATCAACATCATCATAACTGGAGCGACATAGCAGTCTAGCTTTCTTCTGAGCGCCTCTTCCCTCTTCTTCAATTCGAGTGCCTCTGGATCCTCATCACATGGCAGATGCTCGCGTTGTACATTCGCAGATTTCTCGTCGCTGTTCGTGAGTGGACCCAAGATTTGGGCATTGTTCGTTGCTGACATAGTGGGGGCCTAGGTATGGTATGCGACACTCTCGGATGATAGACTGCATTAATGTGATCACTACACACGGCTCTGGGTGATGAGTGACCGCAGCAAATTCATAGCATGAACCACGCGGAAGATTCCCGTTTCTTGCTCCAACGTAACCGTCATCGCAGCTCACAGATTTGGCGAGCCTCGCTTCTGGCGCATCAGGCATCCACGGCACTCCGCCAGGCATGCGTGAGGCAGCTTCTAAGATCTGCGCGCCTATCATTCGTGCATCGCCACAGGCTTACATTCTGCGATAGGCTGGAATAAGGTGTGATGGCGTACCGGCTATAAGGTGACGAGTGTGGGGAGACCATTCATAGTTGAGGGTGTGGATGTGGAGACATGAGTTACTCCAGTGCGGGGAAGAAACACAGAAAGAGAGAAGAGTTGGAGCTCGGAACATGACATGCATGAGACCCTCACCCGGAAAACTGGAGCTAGTGTTATATCGCGGAGCTAGCATTCACACCTAGTAAACAACAGATACAACTATAATCGCAGGATAGAGCTTGTCATTGATCGAGACTTCTATCGCCGTTTGGACTTTGAGTTTACTAGAGAGCCTCCATCTTTGCCTCCATCGACCATCATGTCTCCACCAGAGAAGACTATCGCCTTCATCGGTAATCCCCCACCCTCTTCGCAGAATCTTTTCTCAAAATGCTCACAATCCCCAGGCCTCGGTGTCATGGGCTACCCCATGGCCCTCAATCTCCGCAAAGGTCTAGATGTCTCCCACACACTCCTCATCTGCGACGTCTCCAGCGACGCACTCACGCGCTTCCAAAAGGACGCGGCCAGCATGGGCCCTGTGGAAGTCATCAAGAACGGATACGAAGCCGTGCAAAGAGCAGATACCGTCATATCGATGCTCCCAGACGCCAAAGTAGTGGAGAAAGTCTATCTCGACCCTCAAACAGGCATCCTCGCAGGCGCAGCAAAACTTTTGGCGGATGCCAGCGCGCAGAAACCAAACTACAAGATTATAATGGAGTGCGGCACGATTGAGACTGCAACAATTTTATGCGTCTCTAGTGCCGTATTGTCTTCTCCCGCCTCCTCCATCCTGACCTTTGTGGATGCGCCTGTGTCTGGTGGGCCCATGGGTGCACAAGACGGTACCTTGGCTTTCATGGCGGGCATGAACAACAAAGAGCTCTGGCCGAGTGTCAAGGCCCTCCTCTCGCACATGGGCAAGCCTTCTGCGATTTTCCTCTGCGGCGACATCGGTTCCGGTACCGCGTTCAAAGTGATAAACAATTATCTCTCCGCTATAACCTCGCTCGCGGCGTCGGAAGCATTGAATATTGGCACAAAGATGGGGCTTGATGTTGCATTGCTCACGGACGTGATTAATGTCAGTGGGGGACAGTGTTGGGTGACAAGTAAGAGTAATCCGGTGCCGGGGATACAGCCCAATGTGCCCAGCTCGAGGAACTATGAGGGTGGGTTTAGGATCGAGCTTTGCGCAAAGGTATTGAGTATGGGAAGTCGGCTAGCGGAGATGGTTGGAGCGAAGACCGTGTTGGATAAGCCGACGCTGGAGGCGTTTGGGGAGGCCATGAGTGACGAGAGGTACAAGGGGAAGGATGCGAGGGTTGTTTATAAGTGGCTGAATGAGAGCGAGAGGAAGTAAACATTGCCTTTGGAAAGATCGGCTAGGGTTTGAATATATTGCGGGGATGTTCATTGCGCTTTCAACTCCTTTTCCAATACCTCGAGTCCAACATCTATCGTGCTTATGCTAAGCAACGTCGCAAGTTCCATCACCTCCATGATTTCCCCTGATGTACCACCATAGTTTAGCACGTTGCGCATATGCAACTTCAACCCAGGTTGATACATGTGCGTTGCAGCTGTGTCAAATGCGCAATACATCAACTCCTTGACCTACAAACATCATCAGCTGGGTTCTCAAACCATCTCAACATACACTGATGCTACACACCTTCGGTTCCAAAACCCCCTTCCCCCCCTCATTCACCCACGGAACAGAGCTAAACTCCGTATACGCATAAAAAAACTCCGGACTAATTCGCAGAAACTCTTCCCATAGGGTATTCCAATATCCCCTCTTCTTCTCAAAATCCTCGCGTATGGCCCATTGCTCCTTGCTCATACCGTCCATGCCCTTGGGCATCGCTTCACCCCGTTCTTCCAGAACCTCGAACAAAATCGGCATCCCCGTTGTACACGCATGGATACCCAGTGTGGCCGTCAACGACAAGGTCTCGATAATTTCAGCTTTGGTAGCACCATTGCGCAATGCCTCACGCGTATATCGCTGGATGTTCGGGACGTGGAGATGCGTTGATGCAGCGCTCACGGCGAGAGAGACCAGACTTTGAATCTTGGGAGATAGATGTGTGCTCTTTTTGGGCACGCTGGTTAGGCGCAAGCTAGATGCGAACATGTCGGGTGCATGTTGTAGCATGCGCGCCCATTGTTCGTCAAAGGCTTGGGGGCCGAGCTCTGCGTCGAAACGGGCTTTTAGCCGTTGGTGTTCAGGTGTCATGGACATGATGAACGTCGCAGTAAAGTCTTTATGGCTTTCTAGATATATTCATATGAAGAGGTCGTCGTTTCGATATTGAATTGAGGTTATCGCGAACGTGAACACAATAGCCAGTGGTTGTATGCCCTTTAGTGGTATAGAATGTCTCCAGTCACTCGAGCTACGACATGCTCGACACGCGCATTGGTCCCGACAAATCTGTCCTTAGCAGCGACTCCTGTAACCATCAGCGCAAAGCGTCAGCCATCTAGCTTCCGATGACATGAATGTCTGTGGAGGGTTGTACAAGGCGGGGCCCCACCTTCTCCAACAGGATGCGGGGAAAGTGGGGTCAAACCGTAGAACCAGGTGAGTTTGCGACATGGCAGCGGCCTTTTCCCGAGTAAAGTAGAATAGCAGGATGCTGGAATTTGATCAAGCAATGGACTGACTGGTGAAGAGGGAAAGGGTCATGTATTACTGCATTTTGCTACATCGAACAAGGCAGCTATAGACTGAGGTGCAAGGTTCCCCAGAACTCGTCCTACCGGTACCGGTACGGCACCGGTAACTAGCTTCACGTCTCTTCCACTCCGAAGAACCTTGACTTGTTTGCTGGATTGCTTTCCCACTCTATGTCGTGCGCGAATATGATCTCGACGCCCTGTGCTTCGAGCTTTCTGATTCTCTCAATGGTCTCTTCCGCTTGCTTGCGATCCGCATGTATACAGCAGACATGACCTTCTGCATCGTTCCACTCTCCAATGGTCTTCTCGCCAGTCAAAAGTCGGCGATCGTGACATGCGTCGCCCGCCATATAGACTTCTTGTCCACTTGCAGTCCGTGCTAGCAGATTGATATGGCCTGGTAGATGGCCTGGCGCGTTCACAATCAAAAGGGACCCGTCATTGAAAATGTCTAGTACATCTGGTAGGTTCCCATGTGGCTTCCATGGACCACTGAAACGGGCTTGGTCTGAAGCTACACCAGGATCAAACTTTGTTTGATCATGCTCCATAGGATCAGGTAGCTCTATTGTTCGTCCTTCTGGGAGGAGATCGCACTCGAAAAAGGAGTGACCACCACGTAGCTTCGAGGAGGTACCCTTCAGGAGGTCTTTTGCACCATGACCAACGACGAAGACGGAGGTGGGGAAATCGCGAGGCTCGCCAACGTGATCCCAATGAACCTACCTCAGGTCAGGTAACTGGTTGACTTTGGGGCGCGCAACCTACTCACATGCGAGTAAATCACGTAGTCAATGTCTCCAGGCGTCAACCCGCCATTCGCCAGACTCCGAGTTACGTCTGGGTCTGTGCTAATTGGCCGCCTTGTTTCGATGTGCTTCTGTATTGGTGTCGCATATCTCTTGATATCTCTGCGTAAACCAAGATCGAACACGATCCTAGTCGTCTTGCCTGATATAGCGTTACAATGTTGAATGAGAAAGGCGAGCGAAGGGACCGTTCGTCGAGCATCACGTGCTACAGGATGTACGAATTGATACTCTGGCAACGAGAAATGGCCTCCGGAAAGGACATGGACGGAGACTGATGCAAGGTCCGATGAAAACGTAGAGGCTTTTAGAACGGATGTATCATGGCGGACCATGACTTCCCACCCTTTGTTCCAGGTGATGATGAGAATTCTGAGACAGTCGAAGAACCCACAGACCAGGCAGTTGCGCGAGGCTGGTATTGATAGAGTAGAAAGAAAGGGCATACGTAATCTGGTGGCACAATTGCGCACCTCAGTGTAACACTTACTCTTTCATAACAGTCAGGTTCGAGGGTGGTCAAATGGGGCCTGGTTCAAAGTTTGGTGGAGCCCTAGTGTTGGGGAAGTGTCCCCGCACCTCACTGGCCGCGGCTGGTCGATCATGAGCCAGACGAGCGCAGCAGTTTGTGTTGTAAGAGTACTCTAGAATTTCTGGTTTCACATTGTTATTGCCACAAGTGCTGCTCATCGAGGTTCACAACTGCTCCATTCAATAATCATCTCGCTGCTCCTTTCCTCCCAAGCGATATATACGATGACAGACGAATACAGCTTCGAGAGGCTGGGTTTCATCGGTCTTGGAGCCATGGGCCGACCGATGCTATCACATTTGGCCAGAAAGTTGCCTTCTAACTCGCGCATCTGGATATACGACGTCGCCGAACAAGTGGTGAACGAGGTCTGTGAAGAGTTTGCAGATAGAGTGGTGAAAGGGAAAAGCGCTAAAGATGTTGCCGAGCATGTCGTATGTCAAACGTTGCATGAGAAGGAATGAGCTGACAAGACGCAGGATACCATCATAACTATGGTCCCCGAAGGTGCGCATGTGCGAGCAGTTTACCTCGACCCTGTGAATGGCGTGTGCTGCGCGGATATCTCGAACAAACTCCTCATCGACTGTTCGACGATAGACACAGCAACAAGTCTGGCAGTGACGGACCACATAACCAAGAATTATTCCTCGGCGTCCTTTTATGACTCTCCAGTCAGTGGGGGTGTTATCGGCGCGATCAAAGGGACAATTGCCTTTTTCCTGGGATGTGCAGAGTCGGACCCTAACGTCGACCGACTCACACATCTGATGAGCCTGATGGGTGGGCAAATAATACCATGCGGTGGCCCGTCACTGGGACTGGCCGCGAAGTTATCAAACAATTACTTGTCAGGCATCATCGCGATTGCGTGTTCTGAGGCATTCGATATGGGAATGCGCTCTGGCTTAGACCCACGAACGCTTGCCAAAGTGTATGCTGCAGGTACTGCTCAGAACACCATCTGTGACAAGTTCTGCCCAGTACCACATGTATACCCGGATGCCCCATCGTCAGGTGGTTGGAAACAGGGTTTCAAGGTGCAATTGATGCGCAAAGATATGGGCTTAGCTGTCGACATGGCAAAACGAGTAGGAGCTCGCAACGTCTTGGGACAGGTTGGACTGGAGACGTATGACGGCGCCGCAAAAGATCCTCGCTGTCGAGACTTGGATTCCCGTGTGGTGTACAGGTACCTCGGGGGCCAAGAGGACTGGCAGTCCAATGTACACGAGCCTTAAGGCACGTATAGATATCAGAGTATAATGTAGACCGATTGACGCCGTACCCGTACCCAATAAGGGAATTAGGTATCGCTTCGTTAGCTTCTGGCATACCTATGTGCTGTGATGATGCAATCTTGGTCTTGGGGATTTGGGGTAAGTTGGGGAACGGCCGAGGTCGGCCCCCACTTGTTCTCTGTTCAAAGCTTTGTGGATCGTAGGTAAACACAGTTCAAATCCCGCAATAAGTCCCAAAAGCAACGCAGAACCTACTCATTACTGTCACCGTTTCAGGCGTAGGCACACATTCAGTTCAGACTAGCATATCGACAATCCCGACAACCGATCTCCAAACATGTCGACAGATCCCAAATTCGACGAGCTCCATAAAGGTCTCTTTGAGGAGGGCCTGAAAATGCGAAGGAGTGTTGTGGGCGATGAATATGTCAATCGAGCATTGGAGAACGGGTCCACAGAGTTCTCGCGAGCAGGACAGGAACTCGTCACGGAGATGTGCTGGGGTTATGCATGGACCCGGCCAGGGCTCACGAAGCAACAACGGAGCCTGATCAACATTGGAATGCTCATGGCCCTCAATCGTGCGCCAGAGCTCGCTGTACACGTCAGAGGCGCTAGGAACAATGGATTGTCTGAGTTGGAGATTCGCGAGGCCATCATCCACGCGACCACGTACTGCGGCGTCCCTGCCGGTGTTGACGCGATGAAGACGGCCGAGAAGGTGCTAAACGAGATGGCAGAGAAGGGAGAAATGCCTCGAGAGCTTGGGAAGCGAAGTGATCGCGCATAAGGCCTAAAGATGGACGGTGGCAGGCTGGTGGGCAGACTCTGAGGGAATGGATTCTGACCAGCACGGACCAAGCATGCCGGTAGTACGGTATTGGGTACCTAACGTTATCGGTCACGTGACAGGAGGATGTTTTTGCCGACCTCCCTCCTCATCCAGGTGAAACAAGGGCACTTTGTGCCAACCACAATCATCCACCTCTTCGCATCTCATCTTGCTCCATCTCCATCACAGCATCATTGTGCCCCATGCTTCCTTTGCCGTGCACAACGAACTCTGTACATATAACTGCAATACCTACCACCTTGCTTATCATCCTCCTGTACCCTGTTGCCAAGCTGACGATTCCGCCCATCGCCTTGCTGCACCCCGCACATGACCCGTCTCATTCCCGCGGCTCTTAAAACTTCCCCACACTTTCGCACCTATTCTCCGACATAGATTACTCACAACCTGACAGCCCCCAACCTAGCTCCAAGCATCCTCCAAGCATCATTGACGCAACCTCCAAATTTGTGAGCCTCTGACGGCCAATCACAATGAAGGCCATTGGTTGAAGCACAGGGAACGCCTCAGGCCTGTTATGGAACCAGCCACTGATAGCGAGCAAGCCTCACAGGTGCCAGCAAAAGTTGTCAAAAAGGAGAAGCGCTTCAAGTGTCCGCACTGTCAACGACTCTTCGCCAGACTCGAACACTTGCAGCGGCATGAACGAATTCGTAAGTCACACGACAGAGCCTGTATCTGTGCTCTAGAGCTATCTTGACATCAGTGAAGACAGCGGTGAAAAGCCTTTTAGTTGTGTGCAGTGCAACTACTCATTTACACGCAGGCAAGTATCACAATCTGGCTTTTGCCTCACGTACTGATCCCTTTCTACAGTGACCTACTAGTTAGGCATGAGCGATTGACCCATCGCAAAGCGCAGGATAACCAACAGAATGCGCAACCCATCATCAGTACAGAAGAAATGTCTGACGATGCAGCAATCCGACCGCACAAGCGTATGCGAGCGAGCATTGACGCTGGCCGCCCGGTTCCGGAAATCCGGAGTATGATGTCGCCGTCCACAGCTACAGACGTCCAATCGATACATCAGCAATCCACTGCATCTCTTGCGTCCATGACCTTTGGACACAACAGCGAATTCTCCCTGACCGCACTTTCCATGGCAGCCGAGGCGGCTGAATATCAGGCACTGCATGGGAATATGGCAGACACCGCATCCTCGCGTGCCCAACTGCCAACCCCGATGCCATCACAGCCGGGAACTGTAGCGGTCACCTTGGAAGATTTCGCAACGTCGCTACCGGCTGAGAATCCCTTTCAATTCCAAGCGTCCAGCTTTTCCGAGTCGCTCGATAGTCTGACGTATTTCCTTGACAGCGAACCATTCAATTCTTACCATTTCACGTCCTTGATCAACACCGAGCAGCCCATGCCCTTTTTCTCGCCGGACTCTTTCTCCTACGGTCAGGAGAACTTGCAGGAGACTGGATACGCTGCAGCACCTGCACCTGGATGGCGACAAGCTCAAATGGAAGAGCCACATTCGCTCTCTCGCTTCGGTTCGCGATTTCCATCATTGCAGCCAGAAGATTTGAACTCCGAAGAAGGAACTCGTAAAAGACCCATCTCGGACATCTCTCACGATGACAGACAGAGAGTCGTTGAAATGCTCAGCGAATTCTCCAATGTCGTGGCAAGTGACTTCAGGCTACCCACCAGATTAGCTCTTTGCAGGTATATCACTGCCTATATCAATGGGTTTCATGAGCATATGCCATTCCTTCATATTCCCACAATGTCCGTCAACTCGTGCTCTATTGAACTTATCCTTGCTCTGGCGGCCGTTGGTGCGCAGTATACCTTTGAGGGCGAGAAGGGTATTGAGTTGTTCAACGCTAGTAAAGCGATCGCTACGCATCGCATTAAGATGAGAGATGCACGCCTCGTCCGTCTCCAGAAACAATTCGATGTTGAGCGAGCATCGGAATTGGACTTTGACCGCGCATCCCAAGCGCATAGCCCGGTTCGAGTTGGCTCGGTATCTGGACCATTGGGCTTGCCGCATGATGCTGAGACCATTACCATTGGTGAAGACCTTATGCAGACCGCCCAGGCACTACTCTTGCTTATGGCCTTGTGTACCTGGGCAAAGCACAAAGAAATCCTCCGGGAAGCATTAGCCATTCAGAGCATACTAGCGACGTTGATTCGTGACGATGGTTTGCAAAATGAGCGCCTTACAGAAGATCTGTCGTGGACCGACTGGATCAGGCGCGAGTCGACAAAGCGAACCAAGTTCATTGTGTACGGTATGTGAAGACGCACCACGTCACAAGCAGAAGGGACAGAAACATACTGATCATTGTATATTAGGGTTCTCTAATCTACACTGTATAGTGTATAATATTCCTCCTTTCATGCTGACATCGGAAATCAAATTGACGCTGCCTTGCAGTGCAGCTGAGTTCAAAGCACCAACTGAAGCATTATGGAGAGAAGCTAGGGCCAAGTCAAAGCCCGAAATACATTTCCAAGATGCCTTGAAGCGGCTGTTCAGTAAAGACGGGCGAGACGTGACGGAACACAACTCGTCGTCCGGCAACTACGTTTTGATACATGCATTAATTCAGCAAATATTCTTCCTGCGACAAACGGCTCGCTGCCGTTACGATGGACCGGGAGACTTGAGTTCGGAGGATGTAGCGTCACTCGAACTTGCCCTGAGAAACTGGCAACTTGGCTGGCGTCGAAATAGAGAGTCCTCGCTCGATCCTTTGAGCCCGAACGGTCCAGTTGCATTCAACTCCACAGCTCTTCTACGGCTAGCATATATCCGGCTCTACGTGGACACTGCAGGAAGAGCATTGGAAACACGTGATCCACTACTGATCGCGAATGCTTTTCGCGCGGGGCCTATGATTAAGCGCTCGCCCAAAATCACTAGAGCGGTACTGCATTCAGCCCAAGCGCTGTCAATACCAATCAAGCTTGGCTATCGATTAGTCTCAAAGACACAATCTTTCATCTGGTCAATCCAGCATTCGCTTTGTACTCTGGAATGTGCGTATCTTATGAGTAAATGGCTCGAGGCACTGTCCTTGCCTAATCCAGACCCGCCAGTCACCGAAGATGAAAAGAAAATAATCGCTATTGTCAATAGCATGCTAGAAGAAACAGAGTTTGCGGTTCCACCAGGAATTCCGTCTGATTCCCCCAATTTCACAAAACATCTGAACGCAGGGGTGCTACGTGTATGGGCGACCATTTTCAAAGGCACTCAAACATGGGCTATTGTGGATGTGATTGGCGTATCGCTCAATCTTTACGCCAACATGCTCGAGTCGGAATGAACATTGCGATGTAACATCCACGTCTGAATTTAGCCTCGGCGCCAAATTGCATGATCATGTATTCTTGGAGGGCACCTTGGATCATACATAACGCGTCTCGATTAATGGCCAAGGCCCATGTCCACAACAAGCTTTCCGCCAGTACCTTTGTGGTATTCGCGCACTAGATCATTCAGGCCCGTCAGAGGATATGACTTCGTCAAAGCTCTTACGCCATGCTCAGCTGAAAACTTTAGCGTCTCGCAAAGTACCTTGTTGCTCCCCACCAGACTTCCGATGATCCTGATATCACGAAAGACGATGTCGTGTGCCGAAATGTGGAAGCCTTTCTCAGGGAAAGACACCAGAACACATGTTCCGTGAGTCTTGAGGAGCTTCATTCCATAATCGAAGGCTGTCTGACTCTCAGGTAATATAATGATAGCATCAAGCCCCATATCACCTACGTCTTTCTTTCCATCTTCAGCACCAAGCTCTTGAACAACCTCCGCTGCTTTATTAGCTCTTGCGTCTATGATTCGCGGAGATGGGCTGAGGTTCTGGGCCACTCCTTGTGCTACAGCTAGGGGACCATCTGCTGCTTCGATACCGAGAATTCTGAATCCCATCTTCGCGCCGAACTGTAGACCGAGATGTCCAAGCCCACCACCTGCGCCAAGGATGCCGACCCTGGAACCTTCTTTTTGTCCACATCGTAACAGAGCTGCGTAGATGGTGACGCCAGCACACATCAAAGGTGCTGTTTCCACGGCCGTCAAACTTCCAGGTATCGGAGCGACCTGCCTTGCATCCACTACAGCATACTCTGCGAAGCCTCCATTTCTACTAAGGCCGTTGTTACCCGCACTGACGCAATGTACCGAGTAATTTCCGTCATCCTCTGCGACCGGGTCTTTTGGTCGATTGTTTTTACACTCGAAGCATTTCCCGCAAGCATGGAAAGCCCGACCTGGTATTCCCACTCTTGTGCCAACTTTCAGTGCGCTGGCTTCTGAGGATGGCGTTTCGAAGTGAGATACCACTGTTCCAGCAAACTCGTGACAGCCGATGTGGGGAAATGATGACGGAAGTCCTGGCATCTGCCCCTCTGCCAGGACATAATCGGTATGGCAGTATGACGCTGCATCTACCTTTACCAGGACATCATGTGGTTCTGAAGGTATAGGAACAGGGATAGAGCGTAGTGTGTAGGGTTCCTTGTAAGCCTCCAAAAGCTGGGCTTGCATGCTTTTTGGTAACTGTTGAGACATGCTGGGATGAAGATGACAAGAACAGATTCAGCGCGTTGTTGTGGTTCGGAGGTTCTAGTATGAGCTTATTGCAATTGTTTTGGATCAGTTTCCATCAGGCATCCAAGCAAATTGACCCCGCAGCGGGGTATGCAGGTACCGGAGTGGGGCTGTAAGTGAGGATGGCTTTCTCCAACATGCACCAGGACTAGTGTCTATCGGCATGGATGTCACAATACCATCAACAGTAAACATCGAAAACTGTATTTTTTTTATTCCCCCTTTTTCCAACGTTGTCCTCTTCGACACGTCATACCATGTCGTCGGATAATTCCACAGTCACCCTTCCCGCACCTGCTCCAAATCAGATCTATGTCAAGATATCAGCCCTGCACGCCGGGTATCTGACATTGCCCGAGAGACTCTTCGTAACAGATGCTGACCCCGACCGTCGCGCAACCGTACCGTCCCTCTCATTCCTCATCCAACATCCCTCTACAACCAGTGCTTCCAATCCCCACACATTGGTTTTCGATCTCGGCCTTAAACGTGACATCAGCGGATACCGAGAAGCTCAACAACACCACATTGCGCAACGTCAACCCACGGCCGTAACCCCCGATGCAGCGGACAGCCTACGCAAGGGAGGCCTGGATCCAGAAGACATCAACACCGTAGTCCTCAGCCACGTACACTGGGACCACGTCGGCACGCCCAGCGACTTTTCGAACGCGGAATTCGTTGTAGGTAGTGGAACTACGCATCTCCTCGCCCACGGCGACGGACCCTACTATCCCGCTGAAATCTTCAACGCCGACGAACTTCCTGCGTCTCGAACTTGCGAACTTCCACCCGTTCGCTCACAGGACCGACATACCGCGTCTCCACAACAGACAAGTCATGTCTGGGCGCCCTTGGCTGGGTTCCCTGCAGCAATCGACTTCTTCGGCGACGGCTCGGTATACCTCATCGATGCGCCTGGACATTTGACTGGCCATGTGAATCTCCTTGCGCGAACGGGGCCAGGGAAATGGGTGTATCTTGGGGGTGACTGCTGTCATGATCCGAGGATATTGAGTGGAGAGAAGGGGATCGCAATGTATGATGATGGAAAGGGGGGGTTGAGAAGTGTACATGCTGATAGCGAGAGTGCGGCGGAGACTGTGGCGAGAGCGGCTAGGTTACTCAAGGGTGGTAATGTTAGGGAGGCTGGGGGCGGGGTGGTGGATGTGGAGGTTGTGGTTGCGCATGATGGGGGGTGGGCGGAGAGGAATGAAGGGAGATTTTGGCCTGGGTATTTGTGAATCTTGCGTCTGGCTAGCTAAGCAAGGATCGATCTTGAGTTTCTCAGAGGGAATGGGAGATGGCACTCTCAGCGTACTATTACCATGATTCCCATATCTATATCACAGCGAGGAGGATATCACGATTCACGAATACACAACTTAGAAGCATATATTATAGCAAGGAGGGCGTTGATTAAGTGACGGTCATCTTTATATAACTCTTGCTATATCATGTTTTATACTAACACCCACGGCGGCAATGTATGCTCTGCCATCTATACGCCAAGAAAAGACATAGCCCCCTGAAAGCTAGACACTCGAGTCCTGACCTTTCTAGGTGAATATCAAGGATCCGAAGATACGGCAGACAAGAGAATACTCTTGCCATACGCATTATAATAGAAGAGCAGGTCTTAGACGGCATCACGTAGAAATCACTTTGTAAATTGCCATTCTGCTGTCATTCTACTGTTCGGCCCAGCTTCCACTACTGGAATTATCTACACACCAAGAAAAGACATCCCGCCAAGGGCCTCCGCCAGCTCATCAACCTGTTGTCGGCCTTCAACAACCTCGACCACAGCCGTCAGGAACCTCTCAGCATCTTCCTGGCTCATCCACCACATCTCCTTCATCGGGTCCTCTGGCCTGAGAACTTTGATGTTCTCGGGCACAGGTGTCAAGAGCGCTTTCACCAGCGGCTGCTCGAACGACTCTTCGCACAGGAAGTTCGGCACCTCGTCACCAAATCCCAGTCCACCGAACCCCATGGTCAACCCGCCATCCGCCAAGGCAGCAGCCGCCTCTCCAGCACGCTCCTTCTTCTCCGTCATTCCGGCCATCTTCTCTCGGTGGATGGTGGCCTGCATGGCCCAGCATGCCCCATGTTTCTTCTGCGTCGCCGCATCCTGCAGTTTTGCCAACTCCCAGAATTCTTGCGCCGTACACTCGGGCTTGGTGACGCACGATTCTAACTTCTTGACGAGATCTTCCATGCGTTTCTTGGGCTGCTTACTGAACTTGATCAGGTCGTAGCGACTGCTACGCTTCCAAATCTTGCCGACAAAGTGCTTGCTTGCCCACGACTGTCCAGCTGGAATTCGCATCGCCGTGTCAATCCATGTGACTATGAAAACGCGCAGGAACTGCTCTAGGCTGGGATCCAGCTTCACGCGCTCACTGGAATCGCCAAGCGCATGTGCGCGAGCAGAACGTTGAGGCGGATGTTTATGTGGTGACTCGAGAAGGAGTGATGGCAATCCAGCCGCCAATAGAAGATTGCAGTCTGGTGGTGTACGCCGGGCTCATTCTTGCGGGCTTGGAAGTTGAGGCGCGCGAGCTCGGCGTAGTGCGTGAAGTAGTAGTCTAGCTGCATGTCTTCCGGAACTATGTGGACTTCGGCGCTGCGAGGATTGAGCTAGATCTCTGTGAGCGTGGGGAGGCGGCCGGAGGGGAAAACACGAGCTTTTAGCTTCTTCATCTTGAGCTCATAGAGCTTCTTCGCCTCGTTGTGTTTTTGAATGAGGGCTTGAGTGGTGCTGGCCATGGCGTTGGTTATGGGCTTTGTGAATGTAGTCGTGAGGATATATGAAAGTGAGTATTGGGGTGTAGAAAGATAAAACCAGGGCAACGCCGTCTACTATAGGAGTGTCCATGGACCTAAACAGGGTCCTGGGGTGCAAGTACCCTGAAACAGAGAAGTGGTTCAGAGACAGCTGGATGTACTTGTCTAGTGGCACAGTGGTGGTTAACTGTACCCTGTTTACCAACCACTCCTCCTCTTTCGCTTCGAACGAGATAGTGGCATTCCAGAGGTGGATCAGAAGCATGATAGAATGTAGTGCGGCCATGTCCTCATCTAAGATAGACGTTGTGTGCATGGGAGTTCCCTCGCTGAATGCTATCAATTCCATGCTGGGTAGTATGGGAAAGCTCAGGTCCAGAGTCTGCAAGAAGACTTATCCCAACCCTGCAGTATGGTCGAGACTTAGTGCGTGCGATGCTGTGTCATGAACGCCTGGGTCACGTGTGACGGGCTTAGCCTCTTGGCGGTGCTTGCCCATAGATAGCTCCCATCCTCCTAGACTAGGACAATATGATCACATTACACACTGCATTTGGACCCTCCTCATCGTCGGATATTGCATGCGACGCGAGGTCGCAGACTTACACCTTCGGCAAAAAAGGGACATCACAGTCTTTACTGAACGCCATAAATCGATCACGAGACTACGAACCTCTGACAGTAGAAGATTATATCGCACACATGTCTCAAGACTCAGCGAAGCAGATTCCTCAAGTTGGCAGGGTGTTGGACAAGGCCAAGACCCTCGTGAACGAGATAGAGGACGCCTACAAGGAGCTGGAGTCCAACCACAGGACCCCCTCTCTCACCGAGGCTTACAACGAGTTTGCCAGAGCGATGATAGAGTACAGAGACAGTGTCCTGTACGATCTAGTGAGTGCCTCGGTGGCGGCGGCGGGGGACGGCTCCTCCAAGCTGGGTAGGCCCACTGAGTGGGGGAGCAAAAAGCAGTGGAGGAAGCCCGCAGCTTCCATCGGGAACTCATCCAAGATGTCGGTGCTTTCCGAAGATGCGGTCGGTGTGGAGCAGAAGTTCGCCGAAGATGGAGGGCAGGAGGTGGTCTTCGCCGACGAAGAAGAACCAGAGCAGCCCGCAGAGCCAGAGCCCAAGAAGACGAGGAAGGTGGTGAGACGTGTGGTGAAGAGGCCCAAGAGTGCTCGAAACTCTTCAACTCCTACGATCGTGCCCCCTGCCCAGGCCGAAACTACACAAGGCTCGAAGCTCAGCGCCAAGGACATTACCGCCCTGAGAGTAGTAAAGTACTACATCTCTGAAGTCACCACAAGCTCTTCATCGCCGCTGGAAGATGACATAACCGCCTCCATAGAGGAGGGCGTGGCCAAGACCCCTACCATCGGGGTAATCGTGGACACTATAGCTAGAGACTTCGCCGACTCAGGCAAGGAAGCCTCGGTTTCGCTAGGCATGGAAGACGGCGTGGTGGACCAAAGCTGTATACTACCTAAATTGCTCGCTAAGCTCACAGAGGGCTAACTGTGCTAAAGCTAAAGCGCGTGTGAGTACATGCTGGCTTTTAAAAAAAATTCAAGACTGTCCGCTGTCTGGCGTCACTATTGTCCTGTTTTCACCATTCCTACAGCGTCAATTGGCTTGATAGAATCTTTCAGGACTAGCTCTGCGTACTTCTTCTTTTGGGCGGCCTTCATCTTCAGGACATCCTGGTGGAACCACTTATTTGGCATTTTCAACACGGTGTTATCTGCTACTAAAAGTTCTGAGTCTTCTGTAACAAAAGGATATTTTATCAGCTTGAATCTACAGGTTCTCTCTGGGCTCAGTAGTCCTGTACACTTGAGGATGGCTACTCTCATCCATTCTACAGTGGTCATTATGGCGGGACATGTAGATATAAGTAGAGTCAGGTGGCTCGCATCACATGCAGGCCTCCTGCCACTCACAGGCGAGGCGACCATGGTTATTGCTTCCCTGAAATCTTGGTCCCCTGGCTTTGGTATCCTTAACCCCATCTTGGAGTCCTTATCAGCATTGAACACTGTGGTACATATGTTGTACCAGTCCTTCACGTCCATATGGGTAGAATCCGTGGCCGCTAGCTTCCTGAATCTAGGGTGGTCGCGCAGCATATTGTCTATGTGCATTAGTATACAGGCTATTAGGTAGTTGCCATTAGATATAAGCGAGCCTCCGTAGTAGCTCCCCGATCTAGATGGAGCGTCGCCTTGAGGTAGCGAGACTGATGATGTTTTCGTGGTCACTTGCGAAGAACTGCGATCTCTCTCGGCTATCCCCAGTATTATCGTACACATCTCTTCGTGCCTCCTTTGAGCCCTAGCGTCGCTCTCCTTGCATGTGTCTATTAGATCCTTGATGCTACTCAGGACGCTGGATTAACCTTCTCTGATTTCTACTAGCACTCCCAGAGGGGTTTCCGTGCCTATAGAGGAGGACACAGACCTATACGCCTCAGCTGCGCTAGAGTTCATGCTAAGAGAAGTGCTGTCCGCGATGCTCTGTATCCTCTTTTGGAGATCTGATAAGTCCTCCATCTTGGGTCCCTAGGGTTCAGACGTGCAGAAAGGGCAACGCAGTTGCTCCTGTAGCACGGCGGACCCTGTCCCACCATCGCGGCTTTGTAACAACAGACAAAGACCGCGATCTTGCTAATATTGCTCTCCGCAAGCTACCACTCCACATACAAACATGTTCAGGCACAGTACCAAACAGAATGTTAGATCACAGGAGAACTTGCGAAAGAGCGCATCTACTGCCTTGGACAGGCACAGGCAGCTGCTATGTAACACTGTCTACGAGAACACTTACAGCACTACGTTACCTGAGCCCTCTAAGGAGATGATAAACAACATAGTGGTGTCCTTGACGGGCTGTAACTCTAAGGTTTGTGGCAAAACAAGGAGACTTTACACAGTGGCCAAGTTTAATCATGCAGGTAAGTCCATGTTGCGCATGTTCTTTATACAGCCAGAGGTATCTAGCGCTACTGCGATCACGAGCTTAGCATACTTGAGCATCCTGAATGGTGCTAGGTCTGAAGTGATGGATGAGCTTAACAACCCTTCGCCAGGTAGAATATCCGCCTCGAAAGAGAAGTGCTAGGTGGCGGGAAGGGTGTCTCCCTACGTAGTGGAGAGAGCAGGCCTAGCTTTGGTAGCTGAGTGGAGTTACTTCAACGCTTCGAAGTTAAGGTTGTCGTACTTATTGTCTTCCCCTAATAACATTAATCTTATGTCTATGACGAAGGAGACTATATCTATATATCAAGGATTCTGTGTGAAAGATTGCGTAATAGTGTACGTGTCAAACATGAGATGTTTTAAAGTGACTGTGGCACCCGATAACGACGACACAGGAGAGAGCCCTAACAAGTCCACATGTATGTTCTTGTACTGTGATGGGACCTTTAAAGTTTAGGGTACCCCTCACAAGAGCTACAAGGTGTGTGCACTTTTTAGAGACACTGTGCTGAGGGCACACTCTTTACAAATGTCTGCCAAAATCCTTGCTTCTCTCGTCCCCCTGGAGGAGCCTGGATCTCAACAAAAGAGCTGAAGACGTGGGATCGGGCGACTCGAGGATCCAGCGCATGCAATCTTCTACCATTATCTCCCCTAGGGTACTGTAGCCGTCTGAGTCTTTTCTTAAGTACGAGGATAGTGTGGAGGGAACTACGTTCCTGCCCAACGGTCTACGAAGGCGTAAACTGACAGGACTCGCTATGTGTTCCCTTCTAAACCCAACAGTAGATCTAGCACCCTTGTACCTCACTATAATCTCCCTACAAGGCTTGGTAGAGCTTACAGAGGTAGTGTTGATAAACTGCTAGGCTTGCTCTATGTCAGTGTTAGATACTCTTTCTATATTTCTCTCGCAAAGCTTGTAAGAGTCTATACTAAGGCACTAAGCTACTAAGTCTCTAAAGCCAGGGTCCAAATGCAACGTCTTCTTCCCCTTAAACCTCTTCTCTAGTGCTAGGCGTATCTTAGTGTTCTCTATAACTTCTATAAGGCACACCTTGTTTATTCTTATATCTTAGGTACTAACTACTTTGTGTGCAGCTTTATCTACCTCTACAATCTAACATCCCTCTTAAACTAGGTCCTCTATATTAGATCCTATGTCTGCTATAACTCTAGACGTTAAGGACGTCGTCTACTATAATATAGAAGAAAAGCTTTTTTAAAACCCTATAACTCTACTAAACACAAAAGTAGGCCTATGTGCACATAGCAGTCTACCTACAAATTAAGCTTAGCAAGGCGTTTTATAAGGCTGTTAGTAGCCAGAAGTCTCACGTCCGAGAATAGCACCAAGAACAGGAGGATGCCTTGCTCTGTCCTAGACCCTAAGTATGCCACTCTAGCAAGAGCGTACTACCACTGTTCGGGCATGTACTCCAATGAAATAGTGAGAGACACTAGCTTAGAGAGGCTGTCGCCAAATTGTAACGTTAAACACGTTGCTCGTTACAGGTTAGAGGAAGAGTTGGCCCTGGGGGAGGCGGAGTTGGATGGTATAGTGTTTACCCTCGCTTCCCCTCGCGGTGTAGAGGCGTACTTTTACTCTAGAATGGAGGGAGGCAGAGGTGTGCACGGTTTGGCTATGGACGTAGGAAGAGGGTGGGAGTAGGTCTCTCGCGCCATGTTGAGCCTGTATCACTATGGTTTACCTTAGCCCAGGATAGAAGGCTTCGTCAGCAGAGACTATCTTTCCACCATCAACAACCTAAGTCCTCGCGCGTGGGACTTGAGAAGGATTCAAAAGAAGGGTGCATACTACACTCCTAAGGTGGACGGAGAGAGAGTGTATGTGCTCATATTCTCTGGAGTGATGCACGTGTTTGCAAAGTCTAAGGGGTACCCTCACATAGGGTGCAGACCGCTTCTTAAGATGATTCCTCGGACATCTCTGGTGGTTATAGATGCTGAGAACACAGTGTCTTATGGTATTCTTCTGATAGACATGCTCACCGATTATGGAGGTAAGCCTTCCCCTAGAGAAAGGGATTACAAATGGTCCCTGGGCTAGATGGAGAGACTACAGAACGCTGGGGAAGGGATACCTATTAAAGTTAAGCCCTACTCTAGCTCCTTGCTGGAAGCGGAAGAAATGTCACGGTCGGCCTTGTACCCTACTGACGGAGTCATAGCTCTGTGGCCCGGGACCACCACCTCCAGAAAGATGAAGCTAGAGAAATCGATAGAGCTGCTTGTTAGCCAGAACAACAGTCTGTATACATCAGGTGGCGACGTAGTCTTTAGCGATGCAGGCATACCTACTGGTGTCTATTAGGGAGACATAGTTGAAGTTAGACTGAAGCTATGCTCTAACGGCAAGGATGTAATAACCAAGCCTATTTTTAAGAGGGTGGATAAAGTTAAGGCCAACGGGACCAGCGCAGTGATGGCCGTCCTGTCCTCCTTTAGTTTAGTGAGGAGAGACGATGAGACCAGAAGGAGAGAGGTGCTGATGTGGTGCGACTCGTTGAAGCAGCACTTGATCAAGTTAGCTCTTGAGAGAAAGGGGAGTAGAAAGGTAGTCATCGACGTCGGAACGGGCACAGGTTAGTCCTTGGATATCCTGCGTCTAGATAAAGGAGTTTCCTATCTGCTAATAGAGCCATCTGAAAAGAAGTGTGCAATGCTTAGAAGGAGAGTGGGGAGAGCAAGAGTGATAAAAGAGCCTAGGGAGATCATGTCCGCTATAAGACCACTTAAGTCAGAATCGCAAATTTACATAGTAGCGAACATGGAGCTGTCTCAACTATCTTCTAATAAGGAGCTGATGAAGTTTGTTAGAGAAGAGGTGGCCTTCGTCTCGTGCACATTTAGCGCTCACTTCGTTACAGCAGAGCTCTACGATGTTTGCTCCTACTGGCAAATTCCTATGGTAGGTTGTATGTACACATACGACGATGTAGAAGTAGGTGGAGTCTTGGTGGACACCCTGGGTGTTTCTATGAAGCGAAAGTCGGAGAGTGAGTACACAGTGAAATGGGGAGGTGATGAGGAGTATGCAGAACCGTACACCACCACACAAGAATATGAGCCATTCTGCACAGTCACTAGAGCTATAGACAAAATCCCCCCTCCCAACAAGGAGTTAGGCCTGGAGGCTTGGAGCATATGTAGCAAGGTTTATATGATAGAGAACTTCTAGGGCTTAGAGGACCTCGCGAGGATCTAGTTTTTTAAAAAGCTTCTAACCTAAACTCCTATAAGCGAAGTTAGCGATAACCCCTGAAACGTGTACTTTAGAAATGTTAAGCCTAGTCGGCAAACTGTACATCTGTACCATCGTCCTCTCTATTTGTGGGTCTAGCAGAGGCTCCTACTCTAGGCCTTCTTACCTTCCTCCTCACTGGCTGCACTGGCTCAGGTTGAGGAGTCTCTTGAACTCTTTGAGGTCTCTCTACCGCAGTTCCTGTTGCAAGGAAACGGCGATGTTGGTGATGGGCAGGGACTATCTGATGCCGGTGACGATGGAGGGTTTATTGTTTACATCCCGATTAGGACTAGCGCTTATCGCGTGACGCGTCCATATAGTTATTTCACCCCTTTAGATTAGTTTTGAATTTATACTTCTACCACATTTCTATTTTCTATAACTATAGGTTATAAGCCTAGGCTCTTATTATTAGTTACTATTAACTCTGCTGCATCCCTCTATTAAATCTAATTCGTACCTTATTTTAGTTCTGCTACATAACGCGTTATACCTCCTTATTACTACTATATTAGAATTAACGTAACACAACATCTCCTCTTAAGCTCTACCTCTAACCTTCTAGATCTAATATCCTAGCCTTTTGTAAGGTTCTAGTTGTAGGCAATAGTATTTGCTTTACACTAGACAAAATAGTGTAGAGATAGCTATTAGTATAGTATTAACACAAGAATAATACTTGTCCTTCTAAAACCCCGCGTAAAGCGCAGGTTTTACGCACCTTAGTTACTAAGGCACTAAATGTGAAGGGCTTAGGCTTATGCCTAAGCCTAGGTCTAACACAAGACAGACCAAGTCTAACACTACTACTAAGCGAACACATTGCACACCTATAAAAAGGCGCTAAGGGCTTACCTCTCCTTTAAGATACTAAATACTATTATTAACGCTTATTATATTCTCCCTTAAGGCTAGTCTATAATATTTTAGTATCTTCTTCTAAATATACTATAATAGTAATAAGAGATAGACGCGCTAGATATTTAGAATAACTAGGTGCAACCTAATATAGTAGAAAGGCTAATATAATAGGTCTATAGATTAATAGAATAATAGGCTTAAGACTCTACTATAATAGCTATACTACGTTAATAGAACAAGGAAATACGCAATTAGATTCTATCCTAACCCTCCTCTAAGCCCGCCAGGTTTAATAACATGCTGCCTCTGCCCTCTCCTGCCTTATATTACAAACCCTTTCTAGTTAGCTTGCTATATAATAGTACTAAGGCAAACTTCTCCTCCTAGTAAATAACTATAGAGTTTAAACTGCGTGCAGACAAGGTCTTTATTAGGGATAATAAGGCAAGGTTTATATATATTTAGTCCTAGTTATTGCCTATAGTTTAGCGCGCTATAGTACTATACTTTAAGGATAGTACACGCAAGCGTTAGGATATAAGCAGGTTTCTTAACTACCTAGTATTCTATTATAGTAACTATTATAGGTAGAAGCGCGCCTAAGTTATATTAGAATACTTATATTAAGGCTAAAATTAGCCTTTTATAGAGTTCTTTATAAATTTTATATAGCTCCTTATATAGTTAGGAGGTTTATACTAGGATAATAAATAGAAGCTTTTATAACTTTAGTAATCTCTTAATAGTTATATGTGCTTAGTTTTCCTTAATAGGGGAGTCTCTAGGATAAACTATAACGTAGCTATAGAGGAATATAAGATAATTATAGTAGATATTAAAATAGCCTCTCTAGAACTAGGTTTTCTTTAGGCTAGTAAGTCTAAGGAACCCTAGTAGAAGTCTAACTTAGATTAGGATAGTAATATAAATATAGTAGAAGTAGTAGCCTTATTAAGTGTACCTACTAAACTACTAATATTATATTCTAACTAGATCCTATAGGACCTATTTAATATATAGAAACTAGCGAAGGTCTATACCTAGTGTAGATAGGGTAGTTATTTTATGCGTGTATGCCTTAATACCCTATTACTATAACTAGTAGGTGTTAAGATAGTTATAGTATTAGTAAGCAGCTCTAATTTAGGAAACTAGCTACCCTTAACTTTAGGCTAAGTTAGGGGTATAAGGAGGATACTATAATAGAGGAATTATTAATAGTAGAGGCTATTAAGTATCCCCTAGATATTAAGGCAGGGTTAAATAATCCCCTCTTCTTTATTCCCCTCCTCCTAGGTAGAGTAGAGAATATGCAAGCAATAGTTAATTTAGGGTGCTAGTGTTTTAGTGTAGTTAAGGAAAAGTTAGTAAGATAGATTAGTAGGAACTTTATAGATATTCCCCCGCAACCCTTATAATATACCTAAGGAATTACTAAGGGTATAAGAATTTTATAGTTAGTAGTATTAGACTATAATTTAGATAGTTAGTAGTCTTAGCTTTTAGCCTATATAGTAGCTAGTCTCTCCTATTAACTAATACTAGGTAGACTATAGCTATGTAGAGAGGGCGTTATTATAGATATTCTATAAGGTAAATTAATAATTAGGAAGGCGGGAAATATAGTAGTATAGGAGAGCAGGAGACGCCTATATCCTACCTATATCTCTATTATCTTAGGTTTAGTTATAGTAGGGTTACTAAATTAAGGACCCTAATAGGAAGATATATAGGTATAAACTTTTGCAATAAATATACTAGATATTTTATAGGTAATATATAACTTGCGCCTAATAAAATATCTAGGAAGTATTAATAAAGGAAGTCCTATTAATATACATACTATCTATATTACTAATAGTATAGTTCTCTATAAGCCTAAGTATAAAACTAGAAAGATAAAGTTGCTACTAGAACTATAAGAGTTTAGGGACCTGTTTAACAAAGAGTTAGCAAGCAGTTTGCTACCCTATTAGGGCAGTATAGATTACTATATTTAGTTAATAACTCTCCTAGATAGAACCTAGCCTAACCCCCTATAGGGTCCCCTATACCCTATATCTTATAATTAATTACTAGAACTAAGAATATAACTTACTAGATTAATAGATAAGGGCTAGATCTAAGTAAGCTCTTCTATAGCTAGAGCTCTAGTATTGCTAGTAAAGAAGCTATTAGGCAGTTAGCGCCTTTATATAGATTACTAGATACTTAATAGTATAATAATATTAGACTAATACCTACTACTACTTATTAAGGAAACTTTGCACACACTATCTAGCGTAAATTAGTTTATAAAAGTAGATATTTACGCTGCCTTTTATAAAGTTAGAATAGTAGAAGGTTATAAGTCCTTAATAGCTTTCTATACCTAGTTTAGGTTATATAAATAGTTAGTATATCTATTTAGTCTTAGTAGTATACTATCTACTTTCTAATAATATATTAATACTACGCCTATAGAGTTACTTAGATTATATATAATAGCCTACCTTAATAATATCCTAATTTATTTAGAAGGAGACTAGTTTAACTATATAGAAAAGGTAAAGCGTATACTTACGCTATTAAAAGAAGTAGGACTATACCTAGACTTAGAGAAGTGTGTATTTAGTATTAAGTAGGTACACTACCTAGGCTATATTATTAAGGTAGGCAAATTACTTAGACCTAACCCTAAAAAGCTTAGAGTAGTATAGGAATAGGAACCCCCTAGGAATATAAGAGAGGTAAGGAGTTTTCTAGGTTTTACTAACTTCTACTATAATTTTATTATAAAGTTTTCTAAAGTAGTAGCGCCTTTAAACTAACTAACTAGGAAGGATACCCTATTCTAATAGGGAGAGGAAGAATAGAGTGCATTTAATACACTAAAAAAGGCATTTATATCTAGACTAGTACTAATATAATAGGACCTAGCTAAAGAAATATTATTAGAAGTAGACTATTTAGGATACGCTCTTAGGGGTTACTTATTATAAAAAGTTAGGGGCGTCTAGCGCCTAGTTACTTACTACTCTATAGTACTAATACTAGAGAGACAAAACTACACTATATATAATAAGGAATTGCTAGCTATTATTAAGTATCTTAAAAGCTAGTTAGTAGAGTTATAAAGTGTTTATAAACTATTTATAATATTTATAGACTATAAAAACCTAGAGTACTTTACTAGCCTTTAAAGCTTAAGCAAGTAATAGTGCTAC